TCTTGGTAGAATGGGGTTGGACTGGATGGCCCATGAGGTCTCTTCCAACTCTTTGATTCTATGATTCTATAAGCGGGGAAAAGCAAGCAGAGGAAATTCCTTCCTTCTCTGGTTTAAAACTGGCTTGAGCTAAGGCCAGGAAATTTTCTCCTTCTCTGGTTTAAAACTGGCTTCTCTGGCTTGAGCTGAGGCCAGGGACCAGAAGCGGGGGAAAGCAAATGGAGGAAATTCCTTCCTTCTCTGGTTTAAAACTGGCTTCTCTGGCTTTAAAACTGGCTTCTCTGGCTTGAGCCGAAGCTAGGAAATTCCTTCCTTCTCTGGTTTAAAATTGGCTTCTCTGGCTTGAGCCGAGGCCAGAGACCAGAAGTGGGGAAAAGCTGAATCATTTCCGACTCACTTCCTGAGTCGTAACAAAAATGGCAGAAAAAGCTTTGGAAGGACAAAGGGACTTCCAGTTTTAAAAAAGCTTCGACATAGCTTCAAAAAGGTAATTTTAACAAAATTATTACGAGCAACGAGTTATCCGAGTGACTCTATCCATGCCTAATTTCTATTATCCCCAGTCCACATGATGGATAATTAAAAGTGATGGGAGTTGTCACTCAATAACATCGGGGGTGGGGGTGGGGGCAAATTGCGTAAAAACTAAAGAGCACCGACCGCTATATGGTGTGTGTGTGTGTGTGTGTGTGAATAACCACCACATTCATAGAATCAGAAAATCATAGAGTTGGAAGAGACCTTGTGAATCATCCAGTCCAACCCCATTCTGCCGAGAAGCAGGAAAATCACATTCAAAGCCCCCTTCCCCCCGACAGATGGCCATCCAGCCTCTGTTTCAAAACCTCCAAAGAAGGAGCCTCCACAACCCTCCGGAGCAGAGAGTTCCACTGCTGAACAGTTCTCACAGTTAGGAAGTTCTCCGTAATGTTTAGGTGGAATCTCCTTTCCTGTAGTCTGACACCATTGTTCCACATCCTAGTCTCCAAGAGGAGCAGAAAACAAGCTTGCTCCCTCCTCCCTATGTCTTCCCCTTACTCCAGTCCAATGTAAATAAGCAAAACAGTTTATTGAAGAATATATAAAAAACAGTTCAGCAAAATAGTAAAAACATCTAAGTCCAAATGTATGAAATAATCCATAAGATTCAAGGTACAAGAGTTGCATAAAAAACCAGGAATGCAAAAGAATCAGGATTCACCTGAAGAACTGGAACCATGAAACTATAATTTCCTTGGCAGGCTTGACTAGGACTTGAGATGTTGCTTCAACTCCAACATTGACCAGACTACTGAAAAATCCCTTTGGTCTCTAATAAAGTCATGAAATCATTCCGTTTTCCCTGGCAAACTGATAACAACTTTTTCTCTAACGTGTTGTGACTTTTGCCGAGTCTGTGAATCAGCTCGGAGTTTGTGAAAACTAAGTCTCCTATCTATCAGCTCATGACCCTCTTCACCTCTGAACTGACTTCCCTAGAGAAAGACTGCTCTGGGCCCCTCTCAGGAATGTGACCTTTGCCTTCACTAACTGCAGGAGACACAGAACACTCAATTTCAGAACTTAAAATCTCATGCTGGCTCACAGGCTCATTAGGCCCAGAAATCCCACGATCCACTTCCTCATTGACATTAGGAACAATCAGTGGCTGAATTACAACACAAGGATTCTCTATTCATAAATTCAACAGCCTTTTGAAGGCAACCACAAGGCTTATTTGGGGGCATGTTTACTGTGCTTAATAATAGAAAAAGAGTCTGTTCCAAGTTGGAATTGTTTCTACAGTCCCTTAAGACTATGACCCAGTTCGAGAAATCTTAGTGGGTGAATTTTCAGGCCTGGGAGATCTATCTTTGGAGCGGGAGGTGGTTAACAAATATTATTACATTATTATTATTACATTTATTATTTATCTCTATTTTTATTTTTATTACATTTATTATTATTTTATTACATTAATTATTTTACTCCATTATTTATTATTATTATTATTATTATTATTATTATTATTATTATTATTACATTTATTCATATAAATGTAATAATAATAATAAATTGAGGTGGTTAACAAATATTCTCTTATCCGCTTATATCTCCCAGAGTCTGATGTCTTCCATGGTGCCTAAGCTGCTCTCAGCCATCCGAGAACTGATCTCTGTGGACGAGGTGGGAACTCTTTTGTATATTTAATGCCTAATGTGTTTAATCCATTCGTTTTTTTTCTCTGTCAGACGGCATTTGGGAGACATGCACATGAATGCCGTATGTCAATGGCAAAGTGATTTCTTATTATTCATGGTTTTCCCACTTGCATTGGGGTCTTGCATCCCCAAACCCTGCAAATGTAGAGGGCTAACTGTGCAAATATACGCGTGAATATTGTAAACAAATTCTGAAATGTGTTGTCAAAGGCTTTCATGGCCAGAATCACTGGGTTGCTGTGAGTTTTCCGGGCTGTATGGCCATGTTCCAGAAGCATTATCTCCTGATGTTTCACCCACATCTATGGCAGGTGTCCTCAGAGGTTGTGAGGTCTGTTTGAAACTAGGCAAGTGAGGTATATATATCTGTGGAATAATGTCCATGGTGGGAGAAAGAACTCTTGTCTGTTGAAGGCAAGTGTGAATGTTGCAGTTGGCCACCTTGATTAGCATTGAAGGGCCTTGCAGCTTCAAAGCCTGGCTGCTTCCTGCCTGAGGGAATCCTTTGTTTGGAGGTGTTAGCTGGCCCTGATTGTTTTATGTCAGGAATTCCCCTATTGATTGAGTGTTGTTCTTTATTTACTGATTTTAGAGGGTTTTTTAATACTAGAAGCCAGATTGTGTTCATTTTCATGGTTTCCTCCTTTCTGTTGAAATTGTCCACATACTTGTGGATTTCAATGGTTTCCCAGCATTGAATGGCCTTGCAGCTTCAAAGCCTGTCTGCTTTCTGCCTAGGGGAATCCTTTGTTGAATTCTGGACCAACCACCATGTCAGGCTACATTCTGTATGTATTGTTTATATGCTCTGATGTTTTATACTTTAATGTTATGTTGTTTATTTTACTGCAATTTGTATTTTTTGTATTGTCATTTGTTCTTCGGGCTTGGACCCATGTAAGCTGCTCTGAGTTCCCGTTGGGGGAGATGGTGGTGGAATATAAATAACGTTTATTATTATTATTACTAGCCGTCCCCTACCACACGTTGCTTTGGCCCACATGGGGGTTCTGTGTGGGAGGTTTGGCCCAATTCTATTGTTGGTGGGGTTCAGAATGCTCTGTGATTGTAGGTGAACTATAAATCCCAGCAACCACAACTCCCACATGTCAAGATTCTATTTTCCCCAAACTCTACCAGTGTTCACATTTGGGCATATTGAGTATTTGTGTAGAGTTTGGTCCAGATCCATCATTGTTTGACTCCACAGTGATCTCTGAATGTAGGTGAACTACAATTCCAAAACCAAAGGACATTGCCCACCAAACCCTTTCCAGTATTTTCTGTTGGTCATGGGAGAACTGTGTGCCAAGTTTGGTTCAGTTCCATCGTTGGTGGGGTTCAGAATGCTCTTTGATTGTAGGTGAACTATAAATCTCAGCAACTACAACTCTCAAATGACAAAATCATTTTTTTTAGTGAAGGACATACATTGGGTTGTTAGGTGTCTTGTGTCCAAATTTGGTGTCAATTCGTCCAGTGGTTTTTGAGTTCTGTTAATCCCACAAATGAACATTACATTTTTATTTATATAGATTATTTGAAATCCATAAGCATGTGGACAATTTCAACAGAAAGAAGGAAACCATGAAAACGGAACAAAATCTGGATACCATTATTTAAAAACTCTGAAATTAGGACAGTAAAAAAGAGGGACATTAAAAAACCAGGGTAATTTCTGATGTGAAACAATCAGGGCCAGCTAACACCTCCCAACAAAGGATTCTCACAAGCAGGAAGCAGTCAGGCTTTGAAGCTGCAGGACCCTTCAGTGCTAATCAAGGTGGCCAATTGCAACATTCACACTTGCCTCCAACAGACAAGAGTTCTTTCTCCCACTCTGGGCATTCCATAGATATATAAACCTAACTTGCCTAGTTTCCAACAGACCTCACAACTTCTGTGGATGCCTGCTGTAGATGTAGGCACAGCGTCAGGAGAGAATGCTTCTGGAACATGGCCAGACAGCCCCGAAAACTCACAGCAACCCAAATTCTGAAATATTTCAATTCTCCATTTTTCTCTCAGTGGTTTGAAGGCAGAACTTAAACAAATTCCCCCTGTCTCCCACCCTTAAAGCCAAGTGTACTCAGGCAAAAGAAATCCCTCAGCCCCAGTCCTGTTCCACTTTTGTCTTAATTATAGCCGTTAGACCTAACAAGGCCATATCCTTGACAACACTGTGCTTGCACTCTTTCCCTCTAACAAGACCTGCTTCCTTATCTTTCACTGTTTTCAAAAAATAATCAGACTGACTAGCTTCTGTTTCTGCGTCTGGTCCAAGAGAAGAGGTCAGGCCGACCTTACTTTTCAAAAACATTCCTTTCTGTTGAGCTGTCTCCATCCTCTTTTGCTTTCTGCCAAATCAAAATTCACCCACAGAGCCGTAATAATTAAATCAGGTCGGTGGGAAGATGGCACAAAAAGTGTCAAAATTCAAGGTTGTGAAAACATTAGTCACATTGGCACCTTGTGCGAAGCTTTGGTTTCTGTGTATCTTTTTTTTTTCCATGCCAGGAGCGACTTGAGAAACTGCAAGTCGCTTCTGGTGTGAGAGACTTGGCCGTCTGCAAGGATGTTGCCCAGGGGACACTCCATCCTGTTGGAGGCTTCTCTCATGCCCCCGCATGGGAAGCTGGACCTGACAGATGGGAGCTCACCCCACTCTCCGGATTCGAACCGCCAACCTTTCGGTCAGTAGTCCTGCTGGCACAAGGGTTAAACCCATTGCACCATCAGGGGCTCCATTTAGTTTGTGTTAACTATAGCTTGTTGCTTAAGTCAGAGGTCAAATAGTGGGTGACCAAGCAAGGGGGCATCTACACTGCACAATGAATGCAGTTTGACACCACTTTAACTATCTTGGTTCAATGCTATGGAATCATGGAAGCTGTCCTTTTGCAAGATCTTTATCCTCTGCCACAAAGTTCTGGTGCCCCACCAAACTACAAATCCCAGGTTTCCAGTGTAGATGGTCTTCGCTCAGTGCTGTGGAATCATGGGAGCTGTCCTTTTGCAAGATCTTTATCCTCTGCCACAAAGTTCTGGTGCCTCACCAAACTACAAATCCCAGGTTTCCATAGCATTTAGCCATGGCAGTTAAAGTGATATCAAACTGCATTAATTCTACAGTGCAGATGGTCTTACCTCCATGCTATGGAATCATGGGAGCTGTCCTTTTGCAAGATCTTTATCCTCTGCCACAAAGTTCTGGTGCCTCACCAAACTACACATCCCAGGTTTCCATAGCGTTTAATCATGGCAAGTGATGTCAAACTGCATTAATTCTACAGTGCAGATGGTCTTGGCTCAATGCTGTGGAAACATGGGAGCTGTGATTTTGCAAGATCTTTATCCTCTGCCAAGGAGTTCTGGTGCCTCACCAAACTACAAATCCCAGGTTTCCATAGTGTTTAACCATGGCAATCAAAGTGATGTCAAACTGCATTAATTCTACAGTGTAGATGGTCTTAGCTCAATGCTATGGAATTGTGGGAGCTGTCCTTTTGCAAGGTCTTTATCCTCTGCCACAAAGTTCTGGTGCCTCACCAAACTACAAATCCCGGGTTTCATAACATTTAGCCATGGCAGTTTAAGTTATATCAAAGTGCATTAATTCTACAGTGCAGATGGTCTTAGCTCAGTGCTGTGGAATCATGGGAGCTGTACTTTTGCAAGATCTTTAACCTCTGCCACAAAGTTCTGGTGCCTCACCAAACTACATATTTATTTATTTATTATTTATTTATTTGGGGTTCTTCTACCCTGCCCTTCTCACCCTGAAGGGGACTCAGGGCGGCTTACAAAGGCAAAGGCACAATTCGATGCCTGCAGTCGAGCTGTACTTTTGCAAGATCTTTATCCTCTGCCACAAAGTTCTGGTACCTCACCAAACTACAAATCCCAGGTTTCCATAGCATTTAGCCATGGCAGTTAAAGTGATGCCAAACTGCATTAATTCTACAGTGTAGCTGCACTCTTTCTCTTGTTCTGGCCTGTGATGATGGCCATATGTTAAGCTGTTGGTCACTTTTTCTCATGTGACTTTCTGCATCTCTGTCTTCTGATGACCAATGTGGCCATCATCTCTTCTTGCCACCAGACCCAGGCAAGCGAAGCGATGGAGGTTTTCGATGAGCTCATGGAGACGGAAGTATCCATCATTGCCCAGCACGCTACAGAGATTGTTAGCTTCTGCCTAGAGGTGAATATGTCTATGTTCACCTTTCCTGTGCCCCACCTTCACCTGATTCCTGGTGCCCCCCCTCTCTTTGGAAGAGGAACTAAACTTGGGTTCTCACTTCTGCATTTGGTAGATAGCCTCCAATCAAGCCTTGGGCGACACTCTCCGCGTGAAAGCGCTGTCCTGTATCAGCTTCTTCATCAAACTCAAGAGCAAGGTAAGCCACATCCTATAGGCAGGTGTTTCAATGCAATTTTTATTAGTATTTTTTAAAATCAGAGTGACAAAGCACATCAATCCTATTACCTGATCCCCAAAATTAACAATCTACCATAATTATCCAGTCTATATCCAGTAAGTGTCATACATACATTGCACAGCCAAGAAATGTAATAAATATAATAATAATAACAAAATAATGTAAATGTAATAATAATAAGAGAATAAAATAAGAAATAACTTTGACTCAAGTATAAGCCGAGAGAAGGGGGCTTTTTAGAAAATGAGGGCCAAAGTTTGCCCATGCCTGATATAGATGAAGGTATGTTTGTGCTTTTGTGTGTTGATTTACTTGGGAGGGATACTAGATGGATTCCCAGAGCAGACCAGCTCAATGGCAATCTCTCCCTCCTTCTCACCCTCCAGACCATCCTGAAGCACAAGCTTCTCTCTCCCATCCTGACCACCTTGTTCCCCATCATGAGTGCAGAGCCGCCTCCAGGACAGATGGACGCAGAGGACGAGCAGACAGAGGAGGACATCGAGGAGAGGGCCGAAGTCCAGACCCCCAAGCACTATGCAGCCCAGGTCCTCTGTGGGTCACGCCGTGTGCCTTGCCCTCTCAGGCTTCTTGTCTTGCTTGGTTCCAGCTTCCCCTTGAATAGTAGTCCCTTTCTAGTCAGCCTTGCTGGCATGCCTTGTTTCCAGCATGTCCTCTGTTTTGAGTTCCAAAATTCCTTTGGCACCAGGGTATCAAACCCATTTTTATGGAGGGCCGCATCAGCCTTATGCTTGTCTTCAAAGGGCCGTTGGATCCATGTACAAAGAAGACATGGATATAGGGCCAATTATAATTGTTTTACATAGCAGTCAGTGCTCTTTATTTTTGCTCAGTTTGGGTCCCCAGGGGTTACTGAATGATAACTCTCATCATTTTTGATTATGCAGACTGGGGATAATGGGAATTGCAACCCAACAACACTTGTGGTTTTTAGGTTGGAGGAATGTTAGAGGAAATTCTAAAGCCAGGCATCATATTCACAAGCCTTGTATGTAAATTCAAACTCTAATATCCTGACTAAATAGAGCAAACTGTAGTCGTCCAGATATGACTGTATCACTACTCCTATCTGCTGTGGGGCTGCAGTTGCAATGGGTTAAGCTGTTGAGCTGCTGAACTTGCTGACCAAAAGGTTGATGGTTGGAATCCGTGGGATGGGGTGAGCTCCTGTTGATAGCCCCAGCTTCTGCCAACCTAGCAGTTTGAAAACATGTAAATGTGAGTAGATCATTAGGTACCACTCTGGTGGGAAGATAATGGCGCTCCATGCAGTCATGCCAGTCACATGACCTAGGAAGTGTCCACGGACAATGCAGGCTCTTTGGCTTACAAATGGAGATGAGCAACACCCCCCAGAGCTGGAAGCCTTTACTTTATCTGTGTTTTGCAGTTTCTAGGCATTGAATGTTTGCCTTTGTGAGATAAGGCAGAATACAAATAAAGTGTTATTGTGCAGTGGGTTAAACCGCTGAGCTGCTGAACTTGCTGACCAAAAGGTTGGTGGTTCGAATCTGCGGGACGGGGTGAGCTCCCGCTGCTAGACTCAGCTTTTGCCAACTTAGCAGTTCAAAAACATGCAAATGTGAGTAGAACAATAGGTAGCGCTTCTGTGGGAAGGTAATGGCACTCCATGCAGACATGCTGGCCACATGACCTTGGAGGTGTCTACGGACAACGCCGGCTCTTTAGCTTAGAAATTGAGATGAGCACCAACCCCCAGAGTCGGACACGACTAGATTTAATGTCGGGAAACCTTTACCTATATTGTTGGAGCCCCTGGTGGTGCAGTGGGTTAAACCTCTGTGCTGGCAGGACTGAAGACCGACAGGTCGCAGGTTCAAATCCGGGGAGAGGCAGATGAGCTCCCTCTATCAGCTCCAGCTCCTCATGCGGGGACATGAGAAAAGCCTCCCACAAGGATGATAAAAACATCAAAATCATCCAAGCGTCCCCTGGGCAATGTCCTTGCAGACGGCTAATTCTCTCAAACCAGAAGCGACTTGCAGTTTCTCAAGTCGCCCCTAACACGACTTGAGAAACTGCAAACTGGTTGTTGTTGTTGTTGTTTACCTATATTGTTGTTGTTGTTGTTATCTGCTCTAGACATGATATCTAACAATGAGAAATACAGGAGGGCCACATAAAATGGCATGACAGGCTGGATTCGGCCCATGGGCCTTGAGTTGAATTTGTGATCTACTCTATAGAGGTACTGCGGTTTGACACCCCTTTAATTGGCATGGCTTGGTGCAATTAAATCCTGGGAGTTGTAGTTTGGCAAAGCCCCAGCCCTCTGGCAAAGAAGATGAAGATCTTGTAAACTACAGCTCCCACAGCAATTAATGCACTGACAAATTGTGTTTGTTCTACAGTTCCCGTCATCTGTGCATCTGCTTTTTTCATTCCCATCATTCCCTTGAGTTGCTCATTGAAGCCCACCTCATTTAAAAAACGTACTTCCCGACATGCCTTCTCCCAGCAGGCCTTTCTGATTCTATGCTTTTCTGGTCTCTTCTATCAGGTGGTAGATATGTTGGCCCTTCACCTTCCCCCCGAGAAGCTCTTCCCCCAACTGGTAAGTATGGGGAATATTAAATGGGAGGATCAGCAAAAACAAGACTTAGAAATCGTGTTTTAAAAAACTCTCATTCCCTGGCAGACGCCATTAATGGAACCAGCGCTTCTGAGTACCAATCCGTACCACCGGAAAGCTGGCCTCATGTGCTTAGCGGTTCTGGCTGAAGGCTGTGGGGATCACATCCGGAAGAAGTAGGTTCCAAACTCCTTGAATGTTGAACTTATTGTTGTTTGGGGATTTCAGCTTCCAGACTCCCCCAGCCAGCAGAGGGAATAGAATCATAAAAATGGAAGAGACCTCGTGGGCCATCCAGTCCAATCCCCTGCCAAGAAACAAGAAAAATCACATTCAAAGCACCCCTGACAGATGGCCATCCAGCCTCTGTTTCAAAGCCTCCAAAGAGGGAGCCTCCACCACACTCTGGGACAGAGACGGGACACTGCTGAACAGCTCTCTCTCAAAGTGAGGAAGTTCTTCCTCATGTTAGGTGGAATCTCCTTTCCTGTAGTTTGAAGCCATTGTTCCATTGCATCCTAGTCTCCAGAGCAACAGAAAACAAGCCTGCTCCCTTCTCCCTATGACTGCCCCTCACATATTTATCCATGTCCCTCATCATGTCTCCTCTCAACCTTCTCTTCTGCAGGCTAAACAGGCCCAACTCTTTTAGCCGCTCCTCATAGGGCTTGTTCTCCAGACCTTTGATTGTTTTAGTTGCCCTCCTCTGGACATATTCCAGCTTAGAGTCAACATCTCCCTTCAATTGCAGGGCCCAGAATTGGACACAGTGTGATTCTAGACACATTCATTTAGATCAGTGTTTCTCAACCTTTCTAATGCCATGACCCCTTAATACAGTTCCTCATGTTGTGCTGACCCCCAACCATAAAATTATTTTCATTCCTACTTCATAAATGTAATTTTGCTACTGTTATGAATCATAATATAAATATCTGATATGCAGGATGTATTTTCATATCAAATTTTGCACCCAATACACCCAAATTTGAATACTATTGGGGTTGGGGGGATTGATTTTGTCATTTGGAAGTTTAGTTGCAGGGATTTATAGTTCACCTATAAAAGCGCATTCCACTGGTGATGGAATTAAACCAGTCTTGGCACACAGAACTCCCATGATCAACAGAACACACTGGAAGGGTTTGGTGGGTTTTGACCTTGAGTTTTGGAGTTGTAGTTCACCTACATCCAGAGAGCACTGTGAACCCAAGTAATGGTGGATCTGGACCAGACTTGGCACGAATGCTCAAAAAGCCCAAATGTGAATATTGGTGGAGATTGGGGAAAATGGACTGTGACATTTGGGACTGGTAGTTGCTGGGATTTATAGTTTGCCTACAATCAAAGAGCATTCTGAAGTCCAGCAACGATGGAATTGGGCCAAACTTCCCACACAAACCCCCATGACCAACAGAAAATACTGTGTTTTCTGATAGTCTTTGGCAACCCCTCTGACAGCCCCCTGGTGACCCCCCCAGGGGTCCCGACCTTCAGGTTGAGGAACGCTGCTTTAGATCAACAACATAGATTACACACATATAGTCAAATATATAAACCGTGAGGTTGCTTTTGAAGACTGTTTGGAAGCTCCAAATAGTCCAGCAGACAGGAGCAAGGTTGATCACTGGAGCAGGGTGCAGGGAGCACACAATCCCCCTGTTACGTCAGCTCCACTGGCTGCCCGTCTGCTACCGAGCACAATTCAAAGTGCTGGCTTTAGTCCAGGCTACCTGTCAAAATGTATCTCCTCCAATGAACCACTTTGGAGATTAAGATCGTCAGGGGAGGCCCTCTAAGTATGTGCAATTGATCTTTGGAATGGCCCCAGGTTATGATTGAGGATGATGTGATTTTAATAGTGAATGCAATGTTTTATATGTTTTAATGTGCATTTAATTTCGATTTTAATTTTTTAACGTAAGTGTATTCTAACTGTTTATTGTTCAAAGACATTGAATAGTTGCCATATGTAAAGCCACCTTGAGAAAGGTGGGATACAAATAGAGTAAACAAATAAATAGTTATTGGATTTATTGAATATGTTTAACATTTAACCTGAGATTCATGTGAAGACTTACACTGATGCTGGAATCAATAATCTTTAAGCATTTTTAATGCTCCATCTGGCCATTGTCTTCTTGCAGGCATCTCCAGCCCATGCTGCAGGTAGTGTGCCGGGCACTTTTAGATGAAAGTCAAGTGGTCCGAAATGCCGCCCTCTTTGCCTTGGGACAGTTCTCTGAGAACCTGCAGGTGAGCCAAGTTGCAACAGTGGGCAAATTGCAGGCGTAGGCCTGGATTCCGATTCCCACTTGGTTATGGAAACCCACCGAGTGATCTTGGGCGTGTCACACCCTCTCAGCTTCAGAGGAAGGCAATGGTAATTTGTCTTGGGCGAAGTCTTGCAAAGGGCCACCATAAGTTGGAAATAACTTGTGATGAAAAAATTACTCAGACAATTCGAATTCTCTGTTTGTTGTCTTGTGTACTGAGTGGACCCGACTTTGCTGCATTGGGATCCCAGGTTGCACAATTAAAACTTGTGCTCCAGCTGCGCCCGTACCTTGGGATGTCAGACTTGGCCACAGTGGCCCATGCTCTTGTTCCATCTAGGATAGACTACTGCAACGCACTCTACATGGGGTTGCCTTTGAAGACTGCTCGGAAGCTTCAAATAGTCCAATGAGAGGCAGCCAGGTTAAAAACTGGGGCGGCATACAGGAGCATACAACTCCCATATTACACCACCTCCACTGGCTGCCAGTTTGCTACCGGGCACAATTCAAAGTGCTGGCTTTGGCCTATAAATCCCTAATCGGCCCCGGCCCAAATTACCTGTCCAAACGCATCTCTCCCTATGAACCATTGTGGAGATTAAGATCCTCCGGGAAGGCCCTGCTTTCTGTCCCAACATTGTCACAGGCACGATTGGTGGGGACGAGAGACAGGGCCTTCTCGGTGATGGCTCCCCAGCTATGGAACTCCCTTCCTGGTGAGATCAGGTCGCCCCCCTCCCTCCTGTCCTTTAGAAGGATGGTCAAAACTTGGCTGTGGGACCAAGCTTTCGGTACAGGGCAATAAATCAGCAATAGGAAACATTATCCAGGCCAATTAGATTTGACGTGGATGACTTGGACGGTTTTAAATGGAGTATTTTAATATTTTGATAAATGTTTTTAATGTTTATGTATGTATATAAGAATTTGTGTCCCGGCATTGAATGTTTGCCGTATATATGCTGTGCTCCACCCTGAGTCCCCTTCGGGGTGAGAAGGGCGGAATATAAATGTTTTCAATAAATAAATTAAATAATTTGGCATAAATGGGTGAGTACTGTATAAATTCGAGTATAAGCCTAGTTTTTCAGCCCCTTTTTTAGGCTGAAAAATCTCCCCTCAGCTTATACTCGAGTCAAGGTTATTTATTATTTTACTATGTTATTAGTATTATTTTTATTTCATATATTATTTTACTCTCTTTATTATTATTACATTTGCAGTATTTTACCCTATTATTATTACATTTATTATTTTACACTATTTATGATTATTATTACATTTATTATTTTACTTTATTATTATTACATTTATTATTCTACTCTATTATTACTGTTATTATTGCATTTCCATTATTTTACTTTATTATTATTATATTTATTATTTTACTCTCTTTATTATTGTTGGAAGGATACGTAAGTACATTTACATTGAAGATATGTAATGATTTAATCAGAGTTGGGCAGTCTTATCTCAAATTACGTAAATATTAAAAAACATTTCACCTCCTGATGCCTCAATTAATGTAATTTTATTGGTATCTATTTTTAGTTTGAAATTTACCTGTAGTGGTTGCATTTCCCATCCTCAGCTTATATTCGAGTTAATATGTTTTCCCAGTTTTTTGTGGTAAAATTAGGTGCCTCGGCTTATATTCGGGTCGGCTTATACTCTAGTATATACGGTAAATAGCACTTAATAAATTACATTTTGTAGGATAAATCTTTAGTTTTTTTGTATTTATTTAACTCACTTAATGTTCATGTTGGTTATGTCTTTCATTGAGCATTCATGTCCTCTGCACAACACACCACTTTGGGGGTGTATTCTGTTTTATTAATAGTGTGTTGCAGAGTTTTTCAAACTGTGAGTCACGATACGTTAGTGTGTCAGCTGCAATATGTAGGTGCATTGCGTGAAACCTCTAAGTCTATGTGAAATAAGCAAGAAATTCTATAGTCGAAGGCTTTCATGGCTGGAATCACTGGGTTGTTGTAGGTTTTTTCGGGCTATATGGCCATGTTCTAGAGCAGTGGTTCTCAACCTTCTTAATGTCACGACCCCTTAATGCAGTTCCTCATGTTGTGGTGACCCCCAAGCAAAAAATTATTGTTATTGCTACTTCATATCTGCAACTTTGCTACTGTTATTATGCAAATATCTGATATGCAAGATGTATTTTCATCACTGGACCAAATTTGAATACTGGTGGGGTTGGGGGGATTAATTTTGTCATTTGGGAGTTGTAGTTGCTGGGATTTATAGTTCACCTACAATCAAAGAGCCTGCTTTACTCCACCAACGATGGAATTGAAGCAAACTTGACACACGGAACTCCCATGGCCCACAGTTTGGTGGGCCTTGACCTTGAGTTTTGGAGTTGTAGTTCACCTACATCCAGAGAGCACTGTGGACTCAAACAATGATGGATCTGGATCAAACTTGGCATGAATACTCAGTATGCCCAAATGTGAACACAGATGGAGTTTGGTGAAAATAGTCCTTGACATTTGGGAGTTGTAGTTGCTGGGATTTATAATTCACCTATAATCAAGGGAATTATGAACCACACCAATGATAGAATTGGGTGAAACTTCCCACACAGAAACCCCATGACCAACAGAAAATGTGTTTTCTGATGGTCTTTGGCGACCCCTCTAAAAACCCCTCGCGACCCCTCCAGGGGTCCTGACCCCCAGGTTGAGAACCACTGTTCTAGAGGCATTCTCTCCTGACATTTCGCCTGCACCTGACTACCTCTGAGGATGCTTGCCATAGATGCAGCCGAAACGTCAGGAGATAATGCCTCTAGAACTTGGCCATATAGCCCAAAAAAACCTACAACAACCCAAGAAATTCTATATTTTGAAAAATAAACAAAAAGTTTTCATGAGAGATGTCGCACCCTCCCATACATTGCATTATGCGTCCATATCTCTTATAAGGGATTGATTTAACCTCTGCTCTGATAGTAAAACCGGATGACTGTGTCGTAAAAGAACGCATGTCTCCAAAGTGTGTCACCAACATGAATTGTATGGAAAGCTCTGGTGTATAGTAGGGTTGCTTTTTGAAACATTTGCTGCTCTGCTTGAATGGAAGCATTGTCTGGATAAATGCCTCTTGCCAGAGACTGTACAATTATTTCTCTGTTTACATAACAAGAATATCTTCCCTAGTGCAGCACAAAATGGGTCTGAAGTGTCTTTCTTTCTCTCTGCCCCGCTCTCCATAGCCCGACATTGCCAATTACTCAGACGACATCATGCCGCTGCTTTTGCGCTACTTGGAGGGCGTCCAACTGGCTCATACCAGCCACATGGCCAAAGCCTACTATGCCCTGGAAAACTTTGTGGAGAACCTGGGTGAGACCCCGCCTTCCCTCCTTTCTCTCTATCCCACTCTTTCTTTCTCCTCCTTTGCTTCTCATTAACATTTCTCAACATTTGATAGAGCCATTTTTTGGCGACAGCTGAAAAGGTACTCAGCTAGAATGGCTAGAGAGTTGCAGTCCCTCCGAACTGTATTCCAGAAACAAATAATAATCTGAAAGTGACTAGAAATTAAGGTTTGGGTTCCACTGCCGATATGTAATTCTTGGTTAATTTTCTTCTCAAAAGCAGCAATGAGTAACTTTAATAATTCTTGTTGTTGTTGTTGTTGTTATTATATTAATAGCCATCCCCTGCTATGCATTGCTGTGGTCCAGTCTGTGTATATGTGTTTTGTGTGCATGTATGTGTGTGCATATTTTTGTATATATGTGCATTTGCGTGTGTATATATAGGTGTATGTGTGTGGTTTTGAGAATGCGTTGTAATGTATTTTTTTATTTTTTTGGCTTTTTAAGTCTCTTCTGTGTTTTTCAGTGTTTTTTTTTTAGTGATGGCCACTTATTGGCCTGATACGTGTATTGTGTCCAAATTTGGTGTCAATTCGTCCAGTGGTTTTTGAGTTGTGTTAATCCTACAAACGAACATTACGTTTTTGTATTGTCGAAGGCGTTCATGGCCAAAATCACTGGGTTGTTGAAGGTTTTTTGGGCTATATGGCCATGTTCTAGAGGCATTCTCTCCTGACGTTTCGCCTGCATCTATGGCAAGCATCCTCACTCTGAGGATGTTTGCCATAGATGCAGGCAAAACGTCAGGAGAGAATGCCTCTAGAACATGGCCATATAGCCCAAAAAATCTACAACCCATTATGTTTTTATTTATATAGATATATTAATACAATAATGTAACATTATATCAATATATTAATATTGTAATATACTAATACAATATATTAATATCTTATATATTATATTAATAATAATCATCGATGTTGCAATCCCAGGCAACAGTAGGATTGAAGAGAAACAGTTGGAAAAGCTGACACGATACAAGGATTTAAAGATCGAACTGCAAAGACTCTGGCACAAGCCTGTAAAGGTGGTCCCAGTGGTGTTTGGCACACTGGGTGCAGTGCCTAAAGACCTTGGCCTGCACTTAGACACAATTGGCGCTGACAAAATGACTACCTGTCAGAGCCCCTGTGGCGCAGTGGGTTAAACCCCTGTGCTGGCAGGACTGAAGACCGACAGGTCGCAGGTTCGAATCCGGGGAGAGGCGGATGAGCTCCCTCTATCAGCTCCAGCTCCTCATGCGGGGACATGAGAGAAGCCTCCCACAAGGATGATAAAACATCAAATCATCTGGGCGTCCCCTGGGCAATGTCCTTGCAGACGGCCAATTCTCTCACAACAGAAGCGACTTGCAGTTTCTTAAGTCACTCCTGACACGACAAAAAAAAAAAAACAAGCTGCAAAAGGCCACCCTACTGGGATCTGCACGCCTTATTTGCCGATACATCACACAGTCCTAGACACTTGGGAAGTGTTCGATGTGTGATTCAATACAACAGCCAGCAGAGTGACCTTGTTTGCTGTGTACTAATCTTTTTGTGTTTCAAATAATAATAATAATAATAATAATAATAATAATAATAATAATAATAATAATAGAATTGCAAATACTCTGGCACAAGCCAGTAAAGGCAGTGCCAGTGGTGATTAGCACAATGGGTGCAGTGCCTAAAGACCTTGGTCTGCACTTAAAAACAATTGGCACTAACAAAATCTCCACCTATCACCTGCAAAAGGCCACCCGACTTGGATCTGCACGCATTATTCGCTGATACATCATGCAGTCCTAGGTGCTTGGAAAGTGTCCGATGAGTGATCAAATAAAAAAACCAACAGAGTGATCTTGTTTATGTATCTAATAATAATAATAATAATAATAATAATAATAATAATAATAATAATGGGATGAGCGGATTAGCTTCCCTGCTTTAGTTGCCAAGTGATGACTGTCTTACTCTCTGAGGTGGTCTCGGCAAGCATTTCTCTGTCTGTCTTTCCTGGAGTGTGAGGTGAAGCAGTGACCCTCCCTCCCTCATGCAGACACAGAACAACCCCTTAGCAAAGGGGGGCTGTAGCCAAGCACGTTGGGGAGCCCGAGGCATGGCTTCTGCCCAGTTGGCCCACAGCTACATAGCCTTGCACTCACTGGATGAAGACGAGTGAGGACCATTCTGATGGCAAACTAAAGCAGAGGGGCAAGGCTTTTGAGTTATGGCCTCCGTTTGGGGGGTGTTAGATGTGCGGGTCTGTGCTTGGGATTCTCCATTCAGTTCCCCCAGATTCCCATTTTGGGTTTGATGCTATTGCCACTGTGACGGGGCGTAAAATTATTGCCACCAATTCTGTGAGGAAGCCGGGCAATGATCAGTATCAGCTTAAGAGTTGGTTTATAAAGGGACTATTAATTACAGAAGTATTTATTTATTTGATAGCGTAGCGTTTAATGTCCCTGGTTTGGTTTTACTTCTTATACAGGCTGTTTGACTTGGGAGAAACTGTATAAGGCAAGGCTTGAGGAAAACAGTAACAAATTTATTTAACAGGAGTATAACAGATTCAATTGTTACTTCATTAGAGGCACAAACTTAGTTACATTGAAAAGGTTTCCTGAATAACTTTAGGTACAGACTTTAAGAGGTTTCTGTAAGCAGATGTATCTTTCCTGGACAACTGTCCTAATAAAACAAATAAGCTAAAAGGCTTATTTAACAGAATTGGCTCCCAGCCAAACCTTGATTCTTAACCCAGAATCAATCACCCCTTGTAGCTTTATCACTACCGGATCCTTTTCTGTAACCCTTTTGGTCACAGACTAGTTCCCTGAATCTCCCACCAGAGATTTCAGTCTTCTCTGTAACTCTAACGATCACAGACTCTTCCCTGTTTCTCCCACTAGAGAAATCAGTCCTTTCTGTAACTCTAACGGTCACAGACTCTTCCCTGTTTCTCCCACTAGAGAAATCAGTCCTTTCTGTAACTCTAATGGTCACAGACTCTTCCCTGTTTCTCCCACTAGAGAAATCAGTCCTTTCTGTAACTCTAACGGTCACAGACTGCCTATTTCAAACAGATGTGCAGTTAGGTGACAGTTGGCTCCACCCCCGTTGCTATGGCAACTCAGCTCAAGCCAAACCAGCCACCATCTCTAACAAAATATAATCCTACATACTTACCATTTATTAACTACTGTTTAAACAACACATAACCGTAGGAGTAAAATTACACATCGTCACATTACCTGCTTCCAGAATTTCAGTCGTGAGAATTGTTGGGTGAGTGGGCTTATCAACAAAGGACCCTCCCCATAAATGTACAGCAGAGTCACTTATTAGCAGCAGCGTGACTCAGCGCCAGTAGCACAAAGTGATAAAAAGAACAAAAACATGCAGGTCAATGTTATATTTTCCTTAGGAGGCTTTTTTTCTATCTATATAAATAAAATTGTAATGTTTGTTTGTGGGATTAACATAACTCAAAAACTACTGGGCAGATTGACATCAAATTTGGACACAATATACCTATCAGGTCAACGAGTGACCATCACTCATAAAAACACAGAAAAACACAACAGAAGAGACTTAAAAAGCAAAAAAAAAAAACCCCCACCATTGTAACACATGCGCAAAACCACATATAAACACGCAAACTCACATATACACATATATAGCCCTAAACAGTTCCGGCCCAACTTACCTATCCGAAGGTGTCTCCCTTTATGAATATTCCAGGAATTGAAGATCATATGGGGAGACTCTGCTCTCGATCCCGCCTGCTTGGTGGGGACGAGGGACAGGGCCTTCTCAGTGGTGGCCCCTCAGCTGTGGAAGTCCCTTCCTGGGGATATTAACTTGGCCCCCTCCCTCCTGACCCTCCCTCCTGAAAAAGAGTAAAAACCTGGCTCTTGGAGCAAGCTTTTGGAGCCTCATTGTAACCAGATAAAATCAGTATTGTGAACAAATATGGAACGGCTTAACGATGCAAATGGACATGGATTTAAACCTGGAAATCATTGACTTTTATAGTTTTAAATTGCTTTTATATGAATGTTATTATGTGATTTAACCTGTTTTAAATGATGTATTTATGTGTGATCAGCATCTAATTGTTGCCAATCAGTACGCTGCCCTGAGTTGCCTTCGTGCTGAAAAGGGCGGGATAAAAGTGGGGTAAATAAATAAACATATACACACACAAAACACATATATACAGACTGGGCCATAACACATAGCAGGGGATGGCTAGTCTATATAAACATAACTCAAAAACCACTGGGCGAATTGACACCAAATTTGGACACAGTACACCAATTAATGCAAGAAGTGACCATCACTAAAAAAATGATTTTTTTTTCATTTGGGAGTTCTAGTTGCTGGGATTTATAGTTCACCTACAATCAAAGAGCATTCTGAACTTCCACCAATGATGGAATTGAACCAAACTTGGCACACAGGACTCTTATGACCTACAGAAAACACTGGAGGGTTTGGTGGGCATTGACCTTGAATTTTGGAGTTGGGGTTCACCTACATCCAGAGAGCACCGTGGACTCAAATAATGATGGATCTGGACCAAACTTAGCACAAATACTCAATATGCCCAAATGTGAATACTGGTGGAGTTTGGGGAAAATAGACCTTGTCATTTGGGAGTTGTAGTTGCTGGGATTTATAGTTCACCTACAATCAAACCCCACCAATAGAATTGGGCCAAACTTGCCACACAAAACCCCCATGACCAACAGAAAATACTATGTTTTCTGGTGGTCTTTCGTGACCCTTCTGACACCCCTCATGACCCCCTCCCAGGGGTCCCGGCCCCCAGGTTGAGAAACACTGCCTTAAGGCCATCCAGTCCAACTCCCTTCACCAGGTCAAGAAAACATAATCAAAGTCCTCCTGACAGAGCCATCCAGCCATAGATATAGATAGATATATATGATTCACACACATATATATATGACAGATATAGTATCATAGATTTGAAAGGGGCCCCTAAAGAAGGACAATTATATGTTGCATTTTCCAGAGTAGGGAAACCAGACAATTTCTACATTAACACTGACAAAGAAACAACAAGAAGTACTGTTTACCCAGAAGCATAAAGAAATTACATATGTTAGAAACCAACATTTTCTCATTGCTTTATTTTCCAGATCACCAGACTGGGCCACAGCAACACGTGGCAGGGAACAGCTAGTAACACAATAATAAGGTTGCACTATTTACAAGATCAAGTTTTCCATAACACAAAGTTCTTTATACTTCCTTCTTTGCTTCAACGCTGGGCTTCTTTCTCATGCAGATAAACAGCTTTTCTCTCACAGCGTCTCTTTCACACCGAACTTACACAGAAGTTTCACACAGTAGCGTTTTAAACACAGCAGCCTTCACACATGAGGCCTCCAATCTGGGGCTTCTCTCACTGAAGCTTCTCACACCAGGCCTTCTCAAACTGAGGTATACTAACACCAAGGCCTTTCTCCCACTGAGGCCTTCTCACACTGAGGGCTCTCTCAGAGTGAGGCGAACTAACACTGAGGCCTTCTAAGCTCCAGGCATGCCTGCTTATATAGAACTGCAGTTTTTGCTGAGTCATTGCATTTAGTGCTTGATTCACATTTTTGCAATTAAAAATACCTAGTTAATTTTTAATATTTCTGACAAAATTCACAACTAATTTGTGTGTGTATGTGTGTGTGTGTTCATAACAGCACATTCTGCATAGCAATAACATTTATGTACAGAAAATGCCATTTTGTGTGCAAAAAACCATGATTTTTGAGCAAAATAAATCTCCAATAATGATTTTTTTTTGGTCACAGTTTTTACACACAAGCCATTTAGCTCTTTTTCTGTACAGAACAACCACATCTAGATTAAGACCTCAATTGCGAAGATTATTGAAAGTCAACACATTTTTAAATCATTTTTTCCAAAGGTTTTCAGAAATTCTTTCCATCCCTAGTTTATATTTTGCTGTTTTCAATCATCTGTTCCAGTTTAAAAGTCCCGGGTTTTGTTCATGTTATTTCCTATTTTATGGAGGCTCAACCTCTTTAAGTCCTCAGGATTCTTGTCCATCAGCAGTGCTGGCTTGGACCTTTGGGAGGTGAAGTTCGACAATATCTGGTTGCCGCAGTCAGACTCAAATGGGTATAAAGATGTTGTGGGCAGCAGCTGCCTTTCTGTTGTGTTCAAACAAGGTCAATGACGGTCTTGTTTTATTTCCTTCTGCTCCCCCCATTTCCTCCTTCCTTCTCTTGGACAGGAGACAAGATTGCTCCCTACCTCCCCTCCCTGATGGAACGGATGCTCACCACATTAAGTCTTCCCGGAAGCCCTCGGACCAAGGAGCTGTCCGTCAGCGCAATTGGAGCTATTGGTATGGAACCCCATGGCCTGGGCACCCAAATCTCCCCTTAAGACTATAGAAAACAGTAGGAAAATAGTGTGGGAGTGGGGCAGCTAGTTGTCCTCACACTTGGCCCATCTGCACTCTGAAATTACCTGTCTTTCTGATCATAGGTTTGCTTAAATAATAATAATAATAATAATACGAAATCCAGCATATATATCTCATTTGCTGTGACATGCTGTGTCATAATAATAATAATAATAATAATAATAATAATAATAATAATAATAACAATTATTTGAAACACAACAAGATGAGTCCACAGCAGACACTCTGCTGGCTGTTGAATTGGATCACATGTCGGACACTTCCCAAGTGTCTTTCCCAGGGCCTTTTTGGCGGTGGCCCCACGACTCTGGAACTCCCTCCCCAAGGACATCAGGCAGGCCCCAACGCTGGCAGTTTTTAGAAGGAGCTTGAAGACGTGGATGTTCCAGTGTGCCTTCCCAGAATAAGGACTCCCAAGCAATATGTCCCAAATGCACTTTACGAGAGAGTTAGTACTGTCTGCACGCCCACCTATCTTTAAAATATCCAACCTATTTCCCTGGACATGCCCAGCATTTTAAAATTTTAATTCTTACATTTGGCCCTGCCACAGGTTTTTAATTGCGTCATGTCATTATTGTATTGTTTTGCTTTGTTATGAGTTATTTATTGTTGTATTGTTGTTGTTATGTTTTATGATGTATTTGGGCTCGGCCTCTTGTAAGCCGCACCGAGTCCTGCGGGAGATGGTAGCAGGGTATAAATAAAGGTTTATTATTATTATTATTATTATTATTATTAAGTGTCTAGGACTGTGTGATGTATCGGCAAATAATGCGTGCAGATCCCAGTAAGGTGGCCTTCTGCAGCTGGCAGATGGTAATTTTGTCAGTGCTGATTGTGTTTAAGTGCAGGCCAAGGTCTTTAGGCACTGCACCCTGTGTGCCGATCACCACTGGGACCACCTTTACTGGCTTCTTCTTCTTCTTCTTATTATTATTATTAAAGGCCACCTTACTTGGATCTTTGTGCATCATTCGAAAATACATCACACTGTCCTAGACACTTGGGAAGTGTTTCACTTGTGATTTTGTGATACGAATCCAGCATTGATATCTTGTTTGCTGTGACATATTGTGTTTTTGTGTCAATAAAATAATAATATAATAATAATAATAATATAATAATAATAATAATAATAATAATAAAGCTGTGACCATTTATGTTATAGAAAATCATTTCCCCATTACAATTTTGGCGATTGTACATCTGAAGTGAATGGAAAAATATGCGGGAACTGACAGGGCTACTCACACATATGAAAGATATAAAAAAATATGAAAGATAATAGAAAAATATAGACACAAAAATGCCTAAATACCATATATCAGGGTGTTGCAAACAATTAAAACACAGATCAACCATCTAAGAAAAATATTCTTGTTTCCCATGATGAGAGGTTGTATTATTTATATTTTCTTAGATAGTTGATATTTGATTTTACTGTTTCTAATATACTGATATATGATATGATATTCTGGCATTTTTTATGTCTTAGTATTTTTCATATACATTTGTAGACTTGTCGGAGACCCCGGTGGTACAGTGGGTTAAACCGCTGAGTTGCTAAACTTGTTAACCGAAAGGTCTCAGGTTTGAATCTGGGGAGCGGCATGAACTCCCACTATTAGCCCCAGCTTCTGCCAACCTAGCAGTTCAATAAAATGCAAATGTGAGTAGATCAAGAGGTACTGCTCCGACGGGAAGGTAACGGCACTCCATGCAGTCATGCTGGCCACATGACCTTGGAGGTGTCTACGGACAACGCCGGCTCTTCGGCTTAGAAATGGAGAAGAGCATCACCCCCAGACATGACTAGACTTAATATCAGGGGAAAACTTTCCCTTTGCCTTATATGTGTCATCAAATTTTGCCTTTTATTGTGAGCTGCCCTGAGTCCCCTTCGAGGTGTGAAGGGTGGGATATAAATGCAGTAAATAAATAAATACATAAATAGAGGACAAAGGACAAAAGAGTGGCTGATGAGAGGGTGAGCCCGGTTTTATAGCTTCTTAACAAGGATGAGAAGTTATTTTTTTAGAATAACAGCACAACCGCTTCAAATCCCCCCTTGGATATAGCTGCTGGCCATACTAGTTGGTTGATTTTGGAAGCTGTCATCTGAAAAGCACATTTTTCAAGGAAACAGGGAGCGGATTAGAATGGACAAGTGATCCATTGCTCTCCCCACTCTTCTAGCTCCCTAGAGATCTGGTTAGAGGCAGGTCATAGCCTGGAATGGAGAATGTTTTAGGTCTCTTACCTCTGCAACATGGGCTCACCTCACCCCCATCTTCCTGCTCTCTAGCCCAAGCTGCCCAAGAATCCATCATGCCATACTTCCAAGCCATCATGGATCAGCTGATGGGTTACCTGCTCACCACCCAGGAAGACCTCAGACCTGTCCAGATTCAGTCTGTAGGTAAGGAAGTTGCCTCTGAAAAATATGCATTCTAACTCCCATATTTATGGGAGTTACGGTCTTGGATTTACCATGGAAACTGGAAACAGCATGTAACAGTGAACCCTTTGAAATGACTGCTTTACGCTGCAAGTTATGATAGAATTGCTCTGGAGGTCTTAGAAAATGCCTTGAAAGGCTTTGTTCCAGGTCAGCTATTTGTGGGGGTTGCAGTGGTCTGTTGAAGTTGCAATGAAATACAACATAATATTATTATTAATAATACAATATTATAATTATATATTTTGTATTACATGTAATATTACTAATAATATTACAATATAATGGTGTTGTACAATATAGTAATATATAATACTGATATTGTACTATGCTAATAATTTAATATATTGTATGTATATATATCTTGTAAGCCACTCTGAGTCCCCTTCGGTGTCCTCCTTCCTTTCCTTTAAAAAAAACCTGAAATCGTAGTTCTGGAACCAGGCTTTTGGCTAGCAGGCACGACGGCACTTTGGGCACTGAATTGGACCATATGATTGTTATGATAATGAAAACGGCTATGACTGTATAATTAATGTTATTGTTTTTAATCTATTGTCTATTAATGGTTTTATATTGTGTTATATTGTGGTATTGCGGCATCGAATTGTTGCCAATGTTAGCCGCTCTGAGTCCCCCTTTGGGGGTCGAGAAGGGCGGGGTAGAAATGTTGTAAATAATAAATAAATAAATAAATAAATGGTGTTCGCTATAACCTGCAGTGTCATTGGTGTCTCCTGAGCACTTTTTGTGGAGGTGGGAGTTGTCTGTGTAAGTGGACACCCCAGCCACACACACACACATACAGATTTTCACTTTTATTATGTGTAGGATAGTTACATTAGATAATTAGATAGTTAAATGTATAGTTAGATGTTGGAGGAAGGTGTAGTCCAAGTAGTGATAATTCTAGCAAGGGACCTCAAGGAAACTAGGGAAATGGGATGGATGAGCCATAGTCTCTGCTTGCTTTTCACTTCCCCCTGTGGCTTCCTCCTTCCTTAGAGACCCTTTCAGTCCTTGCCACCGTCTTGAAAAAGGACATTTTCCTCCCACTGGCAGAGCAGTGTTGTCAACTTGGGCTGGACCTCTGCGACCGAGTGGACGACCCGGACTTAAGGAGATGCACGTAAGTCTCTTGGAAATGGCAAGCCTTCCTCCTCCTGTCATTTTGGACTGGTGTCTAAAAGCCCAACTAAGCTTCCAATTGTCTCTTAGCTGGGATGAAACTGGAGCTCAGAACCCAAGCTTCATTTTTTAGCCTTATCTGGAAATATGACTATTGCAGACATGAGCAAACTTCAGCCCTCCTCTGTGTTGGGGTTCAGCCTGATCCTGATCTGTGTGAACTGGATTCTCTGATAGTTTTTCCAACTGAGCAAGCTCTCCCTGACCCTGACAGTGTGGAATCTGTTGTTGATGCAGAGGTCAGCGGGGATGAAAATGAAACTCAACAGCTGGAGGAAAATGTTTTGGAAGTTAGCCGTGATATCACTAGCCGTGATATCTCTCCACCTAGGGTTTTTAATGAGGACCGAAGACAACAGATAGTTAGAGACAGAAATGTTTCCCAATTTCTACGAAGTTCACATCGTTTACAGGAGAGACAGGCCCAGATGTCAAAGTCAAGGGGCGTTTCAAAGAATAGCTTCTTTGGTTTAAGAGGCCTCCTGCTGGGTGCCTCTTTAGATCAAGCAACGTTTGGGACTGTGGCTGTGCCTTGGCAGAATTCCTGTGTTTCATGGCCGGTAATCCCAGAGGCTTAGTTATCAAGTTCATGGTTAGTAAAAGGCTAACAGATTCCTGGTTCTTGTATTGTGGCTTTTGAAATTTTGCTCAAGTTCAGAGATTCTACTGACTGCTGTGTTTTTCTGTGGCTTTTTGGCTTTGCATTTACCTTTCTTTTGTAACCATTTTTTCATCAATAAACAAGGATTGCTTTTCCTACAGTCCAGTGTGGTGGATTGAATCTTATGGTCTCGTTTCTTGAATTGGGATGCAACACTCTGGGTGTTTAGGACTTCAACTCCCACAATTCCTAACAGTCGGTAGGAGTTGAAGTGCAAAACATCTGAAGGGCCGAAGTTTTCACATGCCTGGACTATTGTATTTCTTCAATTGTAAGATGCCATCGATGGTAAGATGCAACCTAATTTCAGTACTGCCACCACCAACAAAAATACAGAAGATGCACCTGTGATTCTAAGAGACATCCCATTTTTAGAGATGTTTATATGAGCGGGAAAGTATAGCTTAGAATTGAACAAAAACAATATAACAAGCTGTTGGCAAATTCCATATTTGCATTTGAACTCTAAAGAGCAGTCCTTTAAATCCCCTTAAATTGTTTTAACTTGTTTTCAACTGTTCTGTGCAAACTTGGGTCAACTTCTTCTGTACGGTTTTTAAGCTTTTTGAAATTATTCTTGATTGTTTTGAATTGTTTTAACATGTTGAAACTGGTTTTCCTGTCTGCCACCCTGATATATAAATATTTTAGTAAGTTTAATTAATATTGAAATGTGAATTTTATCCTTTTGATTGGTTCAATATAAGGAATTGCTTGTTTAAAAATCCAGAGAATAGTCACTACACAACTGATATGGGAGGAAGCTACTAGCCATTTCCTGATAAGGCAACTACTTTGGTGTTATCAATTTCAAAATGGGAATTATTGTATATACTCGAGTATAACCTGAGTTTTTCAGCCCTTTTTATGGCTGAAAAGCCCCTCCCCCTTGGCTTATATTCAAGTCAATGTTATTTCTTATTTTACTCGATTTATTATTATTATTATTATTATTATTAATTATTACATTTACATTATTTTACTCTATTGTTATTTGTATTACATTTATTATTTTTGCTATTATTATTATTACATTTATTATTTTACTCTATTATTGTTATTACCTGCATAATTTTACTCTATTTATTATTATTACATTTATTATTTTTCTCTATTTTTAATGTTGTTATTACAATTATTATTTTACTCTTTTATTACTGTTATTATTACATTTAACATTCTACTCTATTCTACTCTATTATTATTACATTTATTATTTTACTCTATTATTGTTATTACCTGTATAATTTTACTCTATTTATTATTATTACATTTATTATTTTACTCTATTATTGTTATTACCTGTATAATTTTACTCTATTTATTACTGTTATTATTACATTTCCTATTCTACTCTATTTATTATTATTACATTTATTATTTTACTCCATTTATTAATGTTATTACATTTATTATTTTATTATATTATTAATGTTATTATTACATTTATTATTTTACTCTCTTTATTATTATTGGAAGGATACGCAAGCACATTTACATTGAAGAAAGTTAAAATAATGATTTAACCAGAACATTCAATCTTTAACCTACCGATGCCTCAATTAGTGTAATTTTATTGTTATCTATTTTTATTCTGAAATTGACTAGTAGCTGCTGCATTTCCCACCCTCGGCTTGAGTCAATATATTTTCCTATTTTCCTATACTTGAGTCAATACATTTTCCCAGTTTTTTGGTGGTAAAATTAGGTGCCTCGGCTTATATTCAGGTCGGCTTATACTTTAGTATATACAGTGATAAGAAATGCTGATATTCATGGGGAATCCTTTGTTGCACCAGGTACAGTCTCTTTGGCTCACTGGCTACTGTCTTAGAAGATGGCATTGCCCCGTACCTGCCTCGCATCACTACCTTTATGCTCTATTCCCTCAAATCCACTGAGGGCTTCGAGGTGAGAACCACATGGTTATTTCCCAAAGCTTGTCAACTCTGTAAGAAATATCTTAGGTTAAATGTGTGTGTGTGGCAGTGATTGGATCTGAGCTTACACAGCAGCTCAACAGAAGTGTTTCCAGACTTCTTGAGTTATGATCAAAAAAAATATTTTCTTCAGTCACAGTGAGGCTGAAGAAGAGGGATCTTTTTGTACTACGGCTGGCATAGTGTCATCTGGTTCTGATTCCAAAAGTTACTTAGGACCTTGCTTTTGCTTTGTACTCTCCTTTGCAATTGCATTTCAACTGACATAACTACAAATGCCCCCCCAAGATTCACCCTAAAAGCCAAGTCAGCCATTCAGAGCATGAGGTTTTGTGCTTCTGTCAAGCAGGAGGCTGCAGGATGGTGCCATAGTGAGCAACAAGGGTTCTTGGCCTGTCCCAGCTCCATCACAGCCTTGCTCAGTTGCAGGACTGGGCAGATTGTATTATCTTGCAATGACGCCCTAAGCCAGGCATGGGCAAACTTGGGCCCTCCAGATGTTTTGGACTTCAACTTCCAGAATTCCTTACAGCCTCAGGAAGGGGCCTGAGGCTGTTAGGAATTGTGGGAGTTGAAGTCAAAAACATCTGGAGGGCCCAGCTTTGCCTATGCCTGCTCTAAGCCCTGCCCACTTAACCAAGAAGAGGAACTTTTATTTATTATTTATTTATTTACTTTGCTTATATACCGCTGTATCTCAAGCCCGAAGGTGACTCACAGCGGTTCACAAACAGTAAAAACAGTAGAAACAGCAGTGGTTCTATACAACATATAACAATTGACTTAACACATTATCCATAAATTAACAATAAGCAATTACAATGCACAATTATTACAAAAAACAACCGTACCCAATCTTCTCATCATCCAAGCGTAGTCCAGGTTCGTCGTTCATTGTTCCATTCCTATATTCCATTACCAGATTGCACTAAATTACTCAAACGCCTGCACAAACATCCAGGTCTTCACCTTTTTGCGGAATACCATTAGAGATGGTGCTAGTCTAATGTCCGTAGGAAGGGCGTTCCACAGCCGAGGAGCCACCACCGAGAAGGCCCTATCTCTCGTCCCCGCCAGCCAAGCTTGAGAAGCAGGCGGGATCGAGAGCAGGGTCTCCCCGGAAGATCTCAAAGTCCTGGTGGGTTCATAGGCAGAGATGCGGTCAGATAGGTAGCTTGGGCCGGAACTTTGGTCTTATCACATTACCTCCTCTTTCTATCAATATTTTGAAATAGGTCAGTACTCCCCCCAGCAACAATATAGTAATATATAATACTAATATTGTGCTATGCTAATAATATAACATATTGTATATGCATATCATTGATAATAATACTGTAATGTAATACAGTATAATACTAATAATAATACAATATAATAATTGTGTATTATATATTACATGTAATATTACTTATAATATTGCAATATAGTGGTATAGTACAATATACCAATTTTGTGCTATGCTAATATATTGTATTTACATATATTAATCAAAATATTTTAATACACTATACTAATAATACAATATAATAATACAATCCACAAGCATGTGGACAATTTCAACAGAAAGGAAGAGACCATGAAAATGAACAAAATCTGGCTACCAGTATTAAAAAACTCTAAAATTACAACAGCAAAACAGCAGAGAGGAAACAACCAGGCACATCTTAACACCTCTCAACAAAAGATTTTCCCAGGCTCAGCCAGGCCTTCAAATGCTAATGAAGGTGGTCAGTTGAAACATTCACACCTAGCTCCAGCAGAGAAGAGCTATTTGCCCCACCCCAGCCATTCCACAGATATATAAACCCATTGTCCTAATTCCAACAGACCTCACTACCTCTGAGGATGCATGCCATAGATGCAGACGAAATGTCAGGAGAAAAATTGCCTCCAGAACATGGCCATATAGCCCGAAAAAACCCACAAGAACCTAATAATATAATAGTTATATATTATATCTTACATGTAATATTAGTAATAATATTACAGTATAGTTGTATAGTACAATATAGTAATCTATAATATTAATATTGTGATATGCTAATAATAAAATATATTGTATGTACATATAATATTGATAATAATATTGTAATACACTACAATACTAATAATACAATATAATAATATAATAATGATATATCACATCTTACATGTAATATTACTAATAATATTGCAGTATAGTGGTATAGTACAATATAGTCATGTATAATACTAATATTGTGCTATGCAAATAATATAATATATTGTACGTGCATGTAAGCCACTCTGAGTCCCTTTATGTATGTTGTAAATAAATAAATACTGTTGAAAATTGAATAATATCAACAAAGCCGACTTAGTTTTTTCTGTCCACTCACTTCTTCCAATGCTTTGCTTGCTTTGCCCAGACTCCGCTTGGAACTGGGAACTCTTTCCTTCTTTTTGACGACGAGGAAGAGGAGGCCGAGGTGGAAGGAGACGAGAGCCTGACTGATGAAGAGGAGGATGACGACTCTGAACTCACAGGGTAAGTACCCCCAATTGTGAGGAGTGGGATCACTGGAGATATTAGGGAGCATCTACCATGCTGGGAAGGAAGGCCTGAGGCAAGAAACACTAGACCAGTGGCACTTTTGATCTGATCTTATCTAGCTTTTTGTGCTTTTTAAGTTCTCAGTGGTTTTTCAGACAAAGTGTCCTCCAAAACCAAAGGACACTTACGCAAGAAGCCAGGCTCCAACTTGATCTCTTCTCTCTTTGTTCACAGGCTGAGTGTGGGAAATGTTTATATGGATGAGAAGGAGGACGCCTGTGTGGCTCTGGGAGAGATCGCCACTAGTGCCAGGTATTTATGTGCGCCTTTTGTAAGCAGATACAAATGGTTCTGGTAGGATTGATTAGAATAGAATGCCATTCCTTCTAAGCTCAAGCTTTGCTGCGTTGACTGCAAACATACTGCTGCAGCCCAGTATTGTCAGTCTGTGTTTGTTTGTTTGTTTACAGTATTTATATTCTGCTCTTCTCACCCCGCAGAGGACTCAGGGCGGATTACAATGCACATATACATGGCAAACATTCAGTGCCATTTAGACATACAACATATATAGACAGACACAAATGCATTTAACATTCCAGCTATTCCAGCTTCATGAGGGTATGCTCGATTCTGGCCACAGGGAGAGCTGCCGCTTCACCGTCCACTTGTGACACCAAGTCCTTAATGTTGTACTTCCTCATTCTTGCACACGCTGCTGGAAGGTTTTATGGTGTCGTAAATTAGTTAAAATAGCCTCCCTGCATAAAGCGGTACCTAAATTTCCTACTTGACAGATGCAACTGTCTTTCAGGCTGCATAGGTCAACAGCAAGCTAGACTATTAATGGTCGGGAGCTCACTCAGACCCAGGCTGGCTTTGAATTAATGCCCTCTTGGTCAGTAGTGATTTAATGCAGCCGGCTACTAACTAGCTGCACTCTAGCCCTCCTTCTCCATCCTCTGAATGCTAATGCCACTAAAATATCTTCCAGGTAGAAATATCTTCCAGGTAGAAAAAGGAGGAAAGGGAAGAGGCAGAATAGATATAAAAGGTGTGAAAAGGTGTATGTTCTGTCTGAGGCTTTATTAATTGAGTTATGTCTGCTCAGTTGAGTGAGCACCCAGGATATGTACTTGAGCTAACCATATATATTGATATTAAATTCAGCTGATTTTGAAGAACTTATTTTCTTTGATGTCTATACAAAGCATGAACGCAATAATTTTGGATATTTGAACAATAGGTGTATTTGCCTTTCGATCCATGGAGAGTAAGCCCTTTTAGTAACAATAAAAGCACACAGAATCCAACTGCATTGCCCATCCATGACATCCCATGTTGGATAAGCATAATTTTTTCAAAACTGTGTATTTACAAATACTAAAGCATTTTCTAATACAAAATGAATATGTTATAATGTGTCCAACTAGAAAAGGATAATCTCTGAATGCAACCATATCATGTGTCACAAGGAACCATTTGTTGGGCAAGTGGGATTATTAATAAAAGACCCTCCCCATAAATGTACAGCAGAGTAACTTATTAGCAATATCATGACCCAGCACGAGTAGCCCAAAGTGATAAAAAGAACAAAAACTCACAGACCAATGTTATCTCTTCCATAGGAGGCTTTTCTTTGTAGTAAAATAATATGGTTACACTATTTACAAGAACAAGGTTTCCATAACACAAATATACTTCCTTCTTTGCTTCCACGCTGGGCTTCTTTCTCATGCAGATAAACAACTTCACTCTCACAGAGCTTCCTCTCACACTGAATTTACTCAGGAGCTTTGCACACAGCAGCCTTCACACTGGAGCATCATACACAATGACCTTCAACGTGGAACTTCTCACACCAGGCCTTCTTACACTGAGGCTTACCTCACATTGAGGCCTATCTCCCACAGAGGCCTTCTCACACACTGAGGGCTCTTTCAGACTGATGCCTCTCTCACGCTGAGGCAAACTAACACTGAGGCCTCCTAAGCTACAGGCAAAGCTGCTTATATTGGACCTCATTTTTTGCTGAGTCATTGTATCCATTTAACTCTTTCAGTACTTGACTCACATTTCAGTACTTGACGAATCTGGACTATGGTTTTGATGATGAGACGATAATGATTGGTTATTGTAGTAATTGTTTATTAATTTGTGTAATGTGTTAGTTGTTAACTGTTTTTATACTGTTGCATTGAATTATTGCTGTTTTTGTTGGTTGTGAACCTCTGTGAGTCACCTTCGGGCTGAGAACGGCGGTATATAAGTAAAGTAAATAAATAATAAATAAATAAATATTTTTTGTAATTAAAAATACCTAGTTAATCTTTAATATTTCCGACACCATACCTAAAACACGGATTTAAGATGATGGTATTTGATGCTCTTGCTTGTTTTAAGAGTCTGAAACAATAGTTTGGGTTTTCAGGCAATTCTCGTGTGATGGGGAAGGAACTATAGTGTGGTGTCGATTCAGAATGGGTGCTGAGTAGAAGCAGAAAAGAAGCACGTAACATTGGAGAGTGGAGGTTGTAAGATCATAACTTTAATGATGTCCTTACCATTTTCTTTCCCTGACTCTCTCAGCGTGGCCTTTCTGCCGTACATGGAAAGCACCTTTCAGGAAATCACCAAGTTGTTGGAGGTAATGGTGAAGCTCTCCAGATGCTTTTGGATTGCAACTCCCAGCAACCATTATTAGCCTAGTCAGTGGGGAGGGACCCTGGGAGAGGCTGCTGATTGCCATCTGGAGAAGCACGAAGTGCCCAATCCCTCACTTCCCGCTTCCCTTCCAGTGTCCCCACATCCGGGTGCGGAAATCTGCCTATGAGGCTCTGGGCCAGTTCTGCATCTCCTTCCGGCATCTGTGTGAGCGGGATCCATCTGAACCCCATGCTGCAGGTATGTGTATGAAAGAATAGGGCATAGACCACGAGGCAGCATGATCCAAGCCAATGCCTTCAGGTCCACTGGGAGTTGTAGTCAGGTGTAACTGGAAAGTCCCAGGCATGGGAAGGCTGCTCACACAGCTTTGCAAAGGACAATGGCCACAACAAAAACGTAGTATGGATGGCTATAGCTGAAGCTGCAACTCCCATTCACAAGACGGGCCGACAGCTACTGGCTTGGAGGGCTTGAAGGGGGGTTGGATAAATTCAAGGAGGCCAATGTCACAAGTAGATACTAAAGAGACATAGGTTGGAATAATTGTGATAATGATGATGATGATAATAATAATAATCATCATCATCATCATCTCCCCCAAGGGGACTCAGGGCAGCTAAGATGAGGCCAAGCCCAAAGATTCAATACAACAAAATAAACTACAAAATGCAGACAACAAAAAATTACATCAAAATAAAATATGTGCAGTAGCAAAATGGGATAAATAAAACAAACCAACACAATATAAAATCGAACAGAATGGGCTTTGTGTTAGGTAGATAAAGGTAAAGGTTTCTCCTCTGACATTAAGTCCAGTCGTGTCTGACTCTGGGGTTTGGTTCTCATCTCCATTTCTAAGCTGAAGAGCCGGCATTGTCCGTAGACACCTCCAAGGTCATGTGGTCGGCATGCCTGCATGGAGCGCTGTTACCCTCCCATCGGAGCGGTACCTATTGATCTACTCACATTTGCATGTTTTCAAACTGCTAGGTTGGCAGAAGCTGGGGCTGACAGCGGAAGCTCATGCCGCTCCCAGGATTTGAACATGCGACCTTTTGGTCAACAAGCTCAGCAGCTCAGTGGTTTAACCCACTGTGCCACTGGGGGCTTTGTGTGACTTCCAGGATTTATGGCAGGCTGTCTGTTCCATTGAATAAGAGCATGCATTTTTTGATTTTTTGATTTTACTTTTTTTGCTTTTGAACTTCTCAGAAGCATCTGAAAGTTTCTTTTTCAAATGACAATTACTAGAGTTCTCACATATCATCACTGTCATGCATCAAGTCATAAAGGGTCCTTTGCTCTAACTTTTTTGTTGTTGAAATGATTACTATCTAATCATAGAATAATAAAGTTGGAAGAGAACTCGTGGGCCATCCAGTCCAACCCCATTCTGCCAAAAAGCAGGAAAATCACATTCAAAGCACCCCCGACAGATGACCATCCAGCCTCTGTTTAAAAGCCTCCAAAGAAGGAGCCTCCGCCACACTCTGGGACAGAGAGTTCCACTGCTGAACAGCTTTCACAGTCAGGAAGTTCTTCCTAATTTTCAGATGGAATCTCCTTTCATGTCATTTGAAGCGATTGTGCCATTGTGTCCTAGTCTCCAGGGCAGCAGAAAACAAGCTTGCTCCCTCCTCCCTATGACTTCCTCTCCCATATTTATACATGGCTACCATGTCTCCTCTCCGCCTTCTCTTCTTCAGGCTAAACATGCCCAGCTCCTTAAGCCACTCCTCATAGGGCTTGTTCTCCAGACCCTTGGTCATTTTAGTCGCCCTCCTCTGGCCACATTCCAGCTTGTCAATATGTCTCTTCAATTGTGGTGCTCAGAATTGGACACAATATTCCAGGTGTGGTCTAACCAAGGCAGAATAGAGCATGGGGAGCATGACTTCCCAGGATCTAAATCTCTCTTTTCCTCAGCCTTCCAGAAGCTCCTCTCCATGGTGATACCGGTCTACATCAAGGGCATCCGGGGGGACAAGGAGCGCCAGGTGGTGATGGCCATTTTGGAGACTCTGGCGAAGGTGGTGAAGGCCTGCCAGCAGGAGGGTCTCCGCGACCCCAGCCGCCTGGGAGAGCTGTGCCGCGTGGTGCGAGAAGTGCTGGAGAAGAAGGTGAGTGCATGGAGTGGCTGCGATGGGGAGATATTGGGCAGGTGGACACCTCCTTCATGCAGGCTTTTGTGCTATATTGGGAGCTGAGTGTGTCTACTTTTAATCCCCAAGTTGCTCAAGTGACAACTTGGGGAATAAGTTCAAGTTGAGCTCCCTCTGGATATCAAATACAGTCAGGAAGCTCCCCACATCGTCTGTGTGGGGAGAATGTATTTCCTTTTATTTTATTTTATTCCTTCACTATATGGTTTTAATGTTATTGGCTGAATTTCGGGGAGGTTTGTCAAAGATAAAACCAAGGGTGTGTCATGATGAAAAATATGATATGTGGTTTGAATGAACTGTATGAAAGGTGTATGAATGGGGCCTAATTGGACTAAAGATATCATTCTAAAAGGAACGAGGCCTGGAAAACAACTGCACTCAGAAACTGCAATTGAAAGTTGCTGAACTGCTGACATTGATAAAAACTGTGATAGTAATAAGAGAAATGTTTACATCTGTTGACATTGCTGACCTGATGAACTTTTGGTGAAAAACAACATGTTTACATTGGTCAAAGACAGTGGCTCTTTAAGTTAAGGAAATGTTTACAACGTTCAGAAGGTAACACCAGAGGCACTCTCAAGTGAACAGCGACTGGTCAAAGGACATTTAATATAATGCCAAGTTTTAAACTTTGTGGGTTTTTTTAAAAAAATACAACTGCACCCTTGATTTGCTTCTGATACGATAAATAATAGGCAACGATGTGGACTAGAAACCTGCCTTTATATGTACTAATATGCAATCTCGCACCCACTCCTGCATGAGACCTGCAACAAAATAGTTGTCGACAGTCTATATTCTATGTATTCATTGAGCTGTTGTTAAAGCTATGTCCTCACTTGGGGCTTTTAAACTTCTGGAAATCCTCAAGTTTGGCATCTTCCTGGTTGGGGGAGGGGGCATCATTTTGACTGCATAGACCAGGGGTTCTCAAACTAAGGCCTGGAGGTCGGATACAGCCCTCCAAGTTCATTTACCCGCCCCTCGCTCAGGTTCAACCTGAGTCTGAAAGCACACAACAACAACAATACTATCTCATCAGCCAAAAGCAGGCCCACACTTCCCATTAAAATACTAATAAGTTCATATTTGTTAAAATTGTTCTTCCTTTTAATTATTGTATTGTTTTAAGCGTTTTTGCACTACAAATAAGACATGTGCAGTGCACATAGGAATTCATTTATGTGTTTTTAAAATTATAATCCGGCCTTCCAACAGTTTGAGGGACTGTGACCTGGCCCTCTGTTTAAAAAGTTTATGGACCCCTGGCATAGACAGACCCTGCAGCCTGCATGTTCGAAATAGAAACAGTAATATTTGTTATGTATGTGTGTTAGAAACACAAAAGTGCAAGGTATCTCTAGGTAAGAGAAGTTTTTTTGCCAACGCCCAGCCATTTTTTAAAAAAAAGCATTTGCTCACCTTCTCTTTCCAGACAACCTGCCAGGGCGCAGATGTGGATGAAGATGGAGACGAAGATGACGAAGAAGAGGCGAGTAAAACTACTGCAAACTTTGGGCTAAATTTTAATTTTAGACAGCAGCAACTCATAATAGCGAAAGATGGGGGACATAGAATTTCACTGGAGGTCTAAACATCATCATCATCACCAACATCATTATTATTGTTGTTGTTGTTGTTGTTGTTGTTGTTATTATTATTATTATTATTATTATTATTATTATTATTAGAAACATAACAAGGTGAGTCTACAGCAAACAATGTTACTCTGCTGGCTGTTGCATTGGATCACACGTAGGACACTTTCCAAGTGTCTAGGACTGTGTGATGTATCGGCAAATAATGCGTGCAGATTCCAGTAGGGTGGCCTTTTGAAGCTGACAGATGGTAATCTTGTCAGCGCCAATTGTGTTTAAGTGCAGGCCAAGGTCTTTAGGGAATTCACCCAGTGTGCCGATCACCACTGGGACCACCTTGACTGGCTTGTGCCAGAGTTTTTGCAGTTTGATCTTTAAATCCTTATATTGTGTTAGCTTTTCCAGTTGTTTCTCTTCAATCCTGCTGGGATTGCGACATTGACGATCCATACTTCGTTTTTTAAGACAATCGTGAGGTCAGGAGTATTGTGCTCCAAAACTCTGTCGGTCTGAATTCAGAAGTTAGTTAGTTTGTTTGTTTATTTATTTATTTACTTACTGTATTTGTATCCTGTCAGATATAGAATCCTCCTTTGGAGAAACCTCTCCATTCTTTAGCAGTTTGCTTGCTTTACCATACTGTTTGTCTGGAAGAGCTCGTTCTCTCTTCCTTTTCCCCATTACAAATTAAAAGAGAGAGAACCAATAAGCCTTGTCAGTAATTAAAAACTGCAATCAGAATAATAATAGAATATGGGTAAAAATATAAAAATATAAAAGAGTAAAATATCCTTGTCTCTGTGTTTCTTGTTTGTAGAAGGAAAGGACCATCCAGTAAAGACGGGGGGAAAGCCTTTACCATGCAGTAGATATCCGTAGAAAAACAACTCACAAAGGGGTACTCAGGATGGCTTACAATTGGCAGTCATTAGATGCCAACAAAGAAACAGAGCTCAAAATAGAGTAGTTTTATTTAATAATAATAATAATAATTATTATTATTATTATTACAACAACAACAACAACAATACAAGCCAGTAAAGGTGGTCCCAGTGGTGATTGGCAACTGGGTACAGTGCCTAAAGACCTTGGCCTGCACTTAAACACAATCGGCGCTGACAAAATTACCAGCTGCAGAAGGCCACCCTACTGGGATCTGCATGCATTATTCGCCAATACATCACACAGTCCTAGAGACTTGGAAAGTGTCCGACATGTGATCTAATTCAACAGCCAGCAGCGTGTCTGCTGTGGACTCATCTTGTTGTGTTTCAAATAACAACAACTACTTCTCCTTGAGGCACAGTACATCACTTCTGTAGGCATTGCTAGATTCTCCAGAGTGATTTGCGTATAAATGAAACCACATTCAACGAGATTGCATAATAAGCAGGACACCTGTATTATAAGTAGATGGACCGGCTGCTTGGTGATGCGGTCCTTCTTGTTCAGTGCTGGAAAAGTTCATTTTGTTGGACTGCAATGCACAGAAAACCACACCTGACATGGGATTCTGAGTGTTGAATGCTAACAAAAGGGCTGCAGAACAGTTTGTAAAGGAGGGCTGCATAATGACTTCTGGAGGAGAGGAGGCCTCAAGCAACCAATGAGAGACAAATTACTTTTTTTCTCCTCCCCACCAGGCGGAATATGATGCCATGCTGATTGAGTATGCTGGCGAGGTGATCCCTGCACTGGCTGCCGCTGCTGGAGGGGAAACATTTGCTCCGTATTTTGCCGGTTTCTTGCCTTTGCTTCTCAATAAAATGGTGAGTCCAGAGGCGTTCCATCCACATTTCTTGTTCCTCTTTGTCCATAACTTCATTTCGCTTGTTGTCCCTTTTGCCCGACCTGTTGAGTGTCCTTTTATTTCAACACCACACCCTTTCACTAGCCCTTCTCTTGCATTCTACCCAATAAGCCTTTCCATTTTTCTTCTTGTTCCCCACCTCTTGATCAGAGCCTTCATAATCACCCTTCAAAGCTTGGGAACCAATTAAACTTGTGTTCATTTGGATGCTGTTCCTGTTGACAAGCTGGAATGTGTCCAGAGGATGGCGACTCAAATGATCAAGGGTCTGGAGAACACGCCCAATGAGGAGTGGCTAAAAGAGCCGGGCATGTTTAGCCTGCAGGAGAGAAGACTGAGAGGAGACATGATGAGGGCCATGTATAAATATGTGAGGGGAAGTCATAAGGAGGAGGGAGCAAGCTTGTTTTCTGCTGCCCTGGAGACTAGGATACAGAACAATGACTTCAAACTACAGGAAAGAAAGAGGATTCCCTCTGAACATGAGGAAGAACTTCCTGACTGTGAGAGCTGTTGAGCAGTGGAACTCTCTGCTCCAGAGTGTGGTGGAGGCTTCTTCTTTGGAGGCTTTTAAACAGAAGCTGGGTGGCCATTTGTCGGGGGTACTTTTAATGTGTTTTTCCTGCTTCTTGGCAGAATGGGTTGGACTGGATGGCCCACGAGGTTTCTTCCAACTCTAGGATTCTATGATATACAGGAAGACGCTATCAAAGCCCTCCCAATAGATGGCGATCCAGCCTCCACTTAAATGAGGTGATTCCATCATCATTGTCAAGGATTATTATTATTATAGTATCATAGAATTGGAAGGGACCCCAAATGCCACCTAGTCTAACCTCCAGGTAGAAAGACACAATACAAGCCCCCCTGACGGAAGGCCATCCAAGCTATGCTTACAAGCTTACATCTGTCGTGGTGCTTTGAATGCAATTTTCCTGCTTCTTTGCAGAATGGGGTTGGACTGGATGGCCCATGGGGTCTCTTTCAACTCTAGGATTCTGTGATTCTATGAGTGCAATTCTCCCTCAAGAGACATAGTGAAGACAGAGCTCCCCTTGCTGTATAGGTACTTCAGATGCTAACCTCCAGAATTCTACCAGCCAAACAGCTTCTAAGATGCTGCAAACCAGAGTACTGGGACATGATAGCAATAGCACTGTCCCAAATATGGGGCATATCGAGCCAGGCCCCTGGAAAAGACCCCTCTGGAAAGGTGGGAAAAGGGACACGTATTGTGTTAGAGATGAGTAAGTTTGGTAGGAGTTGGAGGACACTGTGGTTAGTATCAGACCAAGGAGTGCTTAAAAAGCAAGTCAAAAGTGGAAGTGATCTTTAGTACGGAAGGGATTATGAATCAGGAGGTCTGTGTGGTTTACCAAGTGCAATACCTGCCACTCCAGGAGGTTTCAAGATGTGGAGGAGGAAAACTACATTTACCTCCAAACCCTTGAGGTCTTAATATTTATTTATTTACGACATTTATATGCTGCCCTTCTCACCCCAAAGGGGACTCAGAGCGGCTTACAAGTAAAAGTAAATATAATATATTATATTATTATCATAGCACAATATTAATATTATATATTACATTGTACTGTAACATTATACTATAATATTATTAGCAATATTCCATCTATATAAATAAAAATGTTCGTTTGTGGGATTAACATAACTCAAAAACAACTGGATGAATTGACACCAAATTTGGACACAACACGCCTATCAGTCCAACCAGTGACCATCACTCATGAAAACACTGAAAAACACAACAGAAGAGACTTAAAAAGCTAAAAAACAAAAAATTCATTACAACGCATGTGCAAAACCACATATATACACAAACACACATATATACATAAATACACAAACACATATACACATATATACACACACAAAACACATATACACAAACTTGGCCACAGCAATGCGTGGCAGGGGACAGATAGTTCAATATAAAATATATAATTATAATATCATATTATTATTAGTAGTAGTAGTAGTAATAGTAGTATATTTATTACATTATAATATCAATATTATATGTATATATTATATTATATTATATTCACAGTGCAGGAGACAAGCTGGAACTGTCTTCCTGGCCCCTTTCTTCACTCTGATCTCAGTAACCACATAGAATCATAGAATTGGAAGAGACCTTAAAGGCCATCCAGTCCAACCCTATACTGCCAGGCAGGAAATCACTATCCAAGCCCTCCTGACAGATGGCCATCTAGATTCTGCTTAAAAATCTCCAAAGAAGGAGACTCCATCAGACCCCCGGGCAACATATTCCACTGGCAAGCTGTTCTTAACAATGGATTCAAATTGCAGATAAAGAGATTCCATGTAAACATGTTTACATGGAATCTCTTTTTCTGCAATTTGCATCCATTGCTCCATTGTGTCCTGGTCTCTGGAGCAGCACAAGGCAACTCCTCCCTCCTCAATAGAACATCCTTTCCAATATTTAAACATGGCTGTCATGTCCCTTTCTCTCAGCCTTCTCTTCTTCGAGCTAATCATTCCCATCACCGTATTGTCGAAGGCTTTCATGGCCGGAATCACTCAGTTCTTGTGGGTTTTTTCGGGCTGTATGGCCATGTTCAGCACCTGATGAACCAACCTGGACACAGCATTTTATTTGAGAACACAAAAATGCTGGACCACTCTCACAACCACCATGTCAGACTACACAGAGAAGCCATTGAAATCCACAAACATGTGGACAATTTCAACAGAAAGGAAGAAACCATGAAAATGAACAAAATCTGGCTACCAATATTAAAAAATTCTAAAATTAAAACAGCAGAGAGAAAAACAGGCAGGGACATCTAATCACCTTTCAGGAAGAGTTTGCTCCAGGCACTGTCAGCCCATTGTATGCTAATCAAGGTGGTCAGTTGAAAAGATTCACACCTAGCCCAACTTACAAAAGCCTTTTGTCTCACCCTGGTCATTCCACAGATATATAAACCCCTTTTTCCCAGCTCCAGCAGACCTCTGAGGAAGCTTGCCATAGATGCAGGCGAAACGTCAGGAGAAATGCCTCTAGAACATGGCCATATAGCCCGAAAAAACCCACAAGAACTGAGTGATTCCGGCCATGAAAGCCTTCGACAATTCTATGTATTATTATTACATTTATTATTTTACTCTATTACTGTTATTAAATTTCTGTTATTTACTCTATTATTATATTTATTATTTTACTCTATTATTATTGGAAGGATACGTAAGCACATTGACATTGAAGAAGATTAGAATAATGGTTTCATCAGAGTTGGATAGTCTTATCTTAAACTACAGTTTTATGTAAATACACAAAAACCTACTGATGATTTTCAGTAGCAACTGCATTTTTCACCCTCGGCTTATACTTGAGTCAATACATTTTCCAAGTTTCTTGTCATAAAATTAGGTGCCTCATCTTATATTTGGTTCAGCTTATACTTGCGTATATATGGTAATTAACTCAGAGGAACAACGTGACCCATCTCCGACTCGCACCATTGTGCTTTAGGAATTTCTCCCTAAACCTCAGATTTGTGTGTGTGTGTGTGTCAGGGGCAACTTGAGAAACTGCAAGTTGCTTCTGGTGTGAGAGAATTGGCTGTCTGCAAGGACATTGCCCAAGGGGCACCCAAATGTTTAATGTTTTATCATCCTGTGGGGGGCTTGTCTCATGTCCCCATGTGAGAAGCTGTAGCTGACAGAGGGAGCTCACCCCACTCCCTGGATTCAAACCACCGACCTTTCCGTCTTGCCGGCACAAGAGTTTAACCTCATCTAGGCTCCGAAAACCCCAGGTGAGGGCTCTCCGGAGGGCTTGTGAGCTTAACCATAGCTGCAAAGTTCAAGGACTTGTCTTGTTTTGAGCAGCAGGGTTTCCCCTTATCTTGTCTGCATCTCATCCTCTTTCCCTTTCTCTTTCTCCAGAAACCCAGCTCGTCTTCCTCGGACAAGTCCTTTGCCGTGGGCACCGTGGCCGAGACGATCCAGGGGTTGGGCCAGGCCTCGAGCGCCTTTGTGCCGCGTTTGCTGCCGCTGCTGATGGGGGCAGCCCGGGACACGGACAAGGAGGTCCGCAGCAATGCCGTCTTTGGGCTGGGGGTCTTGGCGGAGCACGGCAGGGAGCCCATGCATGAGTATCCTTTCCTGCAGTTGAATTGCCGGTGGTGGCGTGTTGCAAGACACTGTTGTATTTTCATTGAATTGTTTCATTGATGGTTTAATTGATATGTCATCAGCCCACTTTGGTTGGAATTGAATGTTTACTTTTAAGCTTTTATTGTATTTATATTTGAATTGTTCAGTTGATATGTCATGTTTATTACTGTATGTTTATATTGATATGTTAATTGTTTAAACTGATATATCATGAACTTCCTGACTGAGAGCCGTTCAGCAGTGGAACTCTCTGCCCCAGAGTGTGGTGGAGGCTCCTTCTTTGGAAGCTTTTAAACAGAGGCTGGATGGCCATCTGTTAAGGGTGCTTTGAATGTGCTTTTCCTACTTTTTGGCAGAATGAGGTTGGATTAGATGATCCATGAGGTCTCTTCAAACTCTAGGATTCTATGATTCTATGTTTATTATTATACTAGCTTGGGGACCCAATGCTGCCCGGGTTATTAGAGAAAAGCATTGTGTGTCAAAAGGTATTCTTTATCAGTTATCAGTTAGTGAAGGTACTGCGAATCCCATTGTGCATGGTCCACCCTCCTCCAAACTGCAGTAGGATGTAGAGTGGGTCTTGCGGGCTCTGTGTGCCAAGTTTGGTCTGTATTCGTAATTTTCTGACACAGCCTCAGGCCTTTTCCTCTCCTCTGTCACCTCAGAATCTTGCAGTTTTGAGGCTGGCCAATCAGATACCATATGCAAATAATACCACAGTGACAACCAATCAGAAAGCTGCCACATACACCTCCCTCTGTCCTCCATTCTCCCTACGTACGCCCTCCACCACATACAAACACTGACTTTTATTATATACATAGATAGATGTGTAGTGCGGCATTGTATGCCATGGTCTGTAAGCTGCCCTGAGTCCCCCATTGGGGTGAGAAGGGCAGGATATAAATGTAGAATAACAACAACAACAACAACAACAACAACAACAACAACATTGTCTGACCCACAAGTTAGAGAGAGGAGCATCTTTGAACTTAAGCTAGTCTGTTCCTCTGTCTTGATATAAGAAGGCATTGGCGAGGGGGAACAAACTCTGGGTTATCTAAATCAGACATAGGCAACTGTTTGGGAGCCTGGGACTGAACATGGGCAAACTTCGGCCCTCCAGGTGTTTTGGACTTCAACTCCCATAATTCCTGACTATTGAGCAAGCTGGCTAGGGTTTGTGGGAGTTGGATGCCCAAACACCTTGAGGGCCACAGATTATGCAGGCTTGGCCAAACTTCAACCCTCCAGGTGTTTTGGACTTCAACTCCCACAATTCCTAACAGCCTCAGGCCCTTTCCTTTTCCCCCTCAGCCGCTTAAGCGGCTGAGGGGGAAAAGGAAGGGGCCTGAGGCTGTAAGGAATTGTGGGAGTTGAAGTCCAAAACACCTAGAAGGCCAGAGTTTGCCCATGCCTCGTGTAAAGAGTCCCAAAGAGAGCCGGGAGTTTAGCACAGCTGGTAAGACACCAGCAATTATAAGATCTATCAACCAAAAGGTTGCAAGTTCGAAGCCCCAGGTCGGCATGAGCTGCTGACTGTCAGCCCAGCTTACTGTTGACCTAAGCAGTTCAAAAACCGCTTGTGCTGTAATTAGAGAAATTAGGAACCGCTAAAAGTGGAGGAAGTGTTTTATGAAGCCATAAAAAAAGAAGATCAGGAAAATGCTGGATGACCAAAAGGAAGGAGGACATTCTGATGGCTCTTCTTTGTCATAGAGGATGGAGCAACAGCTTTTTTATTTATTTATTTATTTATTTATTTATTTGCATTATTTCTATCCCGCCCATTTCAGCCCGAAGGCGACTCAGGGCGGTATACACAGTCGGCACAATTCGATGCTGAAACAAAATACATACATTGATAAAGTAAAAACATTCAGTGCAATTAAACATAAACGACAGTGCATAATAACAATTTAAAAAGAAACTATGTCCTCTGTTCAAATCTTCATCCATTTACATTTTCTTGGCCGTTCGTGGGTCAATTTCCAACTCTGTTGTCTGTTTACTCCGGGGTTCCAAATGCTTGCTCGAAGAGCCAAGTTTTTACTCTTTTTCGGAAAGTCAGGAGGGAGGGGGCTGATCTAATATCCCTGGGGAGGGAGTTCCAGAGCCGGGGAGCCACCACAGAGAAGGCCCTGTCTCTCGTCCCCGCCAGACGTGCCTGTGAAGCAGGCGGGATCGAGAGCAGGGCCTCCCCAGACGATCTTAGGTTCCTGGGGGGTTTGTAGGGAGAGATGCGTTCAGATAGATAGACTGGGCCAGAACCGTTTGGTGCCAACCAGCCATGGCACCAAAAAGCTGGACATTGAGTCGAAACAACACACCTCCTTCTGTTCTGTCTGTCTGTGTATGGTCTATACGAAATGGCATTAAATGTTTGCCGTGTATGTGTACTGTAATTTGCCTTGAGTCCCCTTCGAGGTAAGAAGGGCGGATATAAATAAAATGTTATTATTATTATTATTTCAGGTAAATAACCTGCATTTTATTATTAATGTTTTTCCCACTTTTGCAGAGTCCCGCATCCCGTATTTTGTTGAGTGCAGAGTGCTGGTATTAGATCTTTTTTATGAACAAATTGGTCCATACTGGTTTCATTTTGCAAAATCCATTTGAATCTTTTGTCATTCTCTCCAGTGTTGGTGGAGCCAAAATCTGATCCCACTGGTTTTTCTCCTTAACCCCCGCTCTTTGTTTGGCACAGACACTTCCCCAAGCTGTTGGGGCTTTTGTCCAACCTCATCTCTCAGGAGCAAAACAGCCGGGTGGCCGATAATGTCTGTGGAGCCGTGGCACGGATGGTGATGGCCAACCCTGGCGGGGTCCCCATCGGGCAGGTGAGAGCCGAGTGAGAGTTTTGACTCAGGTGGGATGTTTGGGCATGGGGGTCTTGTGGCCTTTAGCTTTCTGGTGAATGTGTATGCAAATATAAGTAAATCCAAAACACATCTGGCCCAAGATATTTTGAACAATGGATAGTGGATATTAGGGATAGTGAAAGATATAGGGATGGTGTTCGGTGAGTGGGCTTATTAACAAAAGACCCTCCCCTTTGTCAGCTCCAGCTCCTCATGCGGGGACATGAGAGAAGCCTCCCACAAGGATGATAAAACATCAAAACATCCGGACGTCCCCTGGGCAAAATCCTTGCAGACGGCCAATTCTCTCACACCAGAAGCGACTTGCAGTTTCTCAAGTCACTCCTGACACGACAAAAAAAAAAAAAAAAAACAACCCATGAATGTATAGCAGAGTAACTTATTAGCAGCAGCGTGACCCAGCACTAGTAACCAAACATGATAGAAAGAACAAAAACACAGAGACCAATGTTATCACTTCCATAGGAAGTTTTTCTTTGTAGTAAAAAAATATGGTTTAGTGCTGTTTGTGTTTAATTCTGCTTTAATGTTTGTATATTTGTATATTTTAAATTGTATACCAATGCTTTTATGTCAAGCTGCTTTGGGTCCCCTTTGGGAAGATAAAGTGGAATATAAATATGATAATAATATATTATTATTGTTATTGTTGTTGTTGTTGTTGTTATTATTATTATTATTATTATTATTTTACTAGCAATCCCCTGCCATGCATTGTTTTGGTCCAGTCTGTGTATATGTGTTTTGTGTGCATGTATGTGTGTGCATGGGGCGCAGTTGGTTAAAGCTCTGAGCTGCTGAGCTTGTTGACCAAAAGGTCGCAGGTTCGATTCCAGGGAGCGGCGTGACGAGAGACAGGGCCTTCTCTGTGGTGGCCCCCCGGCTTTGGAACACCCTCCCTATAGAGGTACGATCAGCCTCTTCGCTGATGGTGTTTAGGAAGAGACTCAAAACTTGGCTGTTCAAACAAGCATTCGGCTAATCTGTGGCAATTCGATTATTGATGAATAAGGACAGGAAATATGGACAACGAATTGTGGATTGCGATTTCAACTCGAGATATATGGGATTATTATTGGTGGCCCAATAATTTGTAATTGAAATTGTTATTATATGTCTATATGTTTTTAAATTGTAGATTGTTTTAACTGCTGTAAACCGCAATGAGTCGCCGTTCTAGGCTGAGATATTAGCGGTATACAAGTGTATCAAATAAATAATAGCTTCTGCCAACCTAGCAGTTTGAAAACATGCAAATGTGAGTAGATCAATAGGTACTCCGGCGGGAAGGTAACGGCGCTCCATGCAGTCATGCCGGCCACATGACCTTGGAGGTGTCTATGGACAACGCTGGCTCTTCGGCTTAGAAATGGAGATGAGCACCACACCCCAGAGTCAGACATGACTGGACTTAATGTCAGGGGACAACCTTTACCTTTACCTATGTGTGTGCATATTTTTGTGTATATGTGTATATATGTGTATTTGCATGTGTATATATAGCTCTGTGTGTGTGGTTTTGCGAATGCGTTGTAATGTATTTTTTATTTTTTGGCTTTTTAAGTCTCTGCTGTGTTTTTCAGTGTTTTTTTAGTGATGGTCACTCATTGGCCTGATACGTGTATTGCGTCCAAATTTGGTGTCAATTCATCCAGTGGTTTTTGAGTTGTTTATCCCACAAATGAACATTATGTTTGTATTTATATAGATATATTTATATAATAATATATCAATATATTAATATAGTGATCTATTAATACAATATATAAATATCTTATATATTATATTAATATAATAATCATCAATGTTGCAATCCCAGGCAACAGTAGGATTGAAGATCGAACTGCAAAGACCCTGCAACAAGCCTGTCAAGGTGGTCCCAGTGGTGATCGGTACACTGTGTGCAGTGCCTAAAGACCTTGGCCTGCACTTAGACACAATTGGCGCTGACAAAATGACCACCTGTCAGCTGCAAAAGGCCACCCTACTGGGATCTGCACGCATTATTTGCCGATACATCACACAGTCCTAGACACTTGGGAAGTGTTCCACGTGTGATCCAATACAACAGCCACAAGAGCGACCTTGTTTGCTGTGTACTAATCATTTTGTGCTTCAAATAATAATGATGATGATTATAATAGTAATAATAATATTAATAATGGGTTGTTGTAGGTTTTTCCGGGCTATATGGCCATGTTCTGGAGGCAATGCTTCCAGAACATGGCCATATAGCCCAGAAAAACCTACAACAACCCATGGATTCCGGCCATGAAAGCCTTCAACAATAACAATAACAATAAAAATAATAATAATAATAATAGAATTGGAAATACTCTGGCACAAACCAGTAAAGTGATGATTGGCACAATGGGTGCAGTGCCTAAAGACCTTGGTCTGCACTTAAAAACAATTGGCGCTGACAAAATCACCACCTGTCACCTGCAAAAGGCCACCCGATTCAGATCTGCATGCATTATTCGCCGATAACATCATGCAGTCCTAGGCACTTGGAAAATGTCCGATGTGTGATCAAATAAAAAAACCCAACAGAACGATCTTGTTTATGTATCTAATAATAATAATAATAACAACAATAATAATAATAATAATAATAATAATAGGATGAGCGGATTAGCTTCCCAGCTTTAGTTGCCAAGTGATGACTGTTCTTACTCATCTGACGTGCTCTTGGCAAGCATTTCTCTGTCTGTCTTTCCTGGAGTGTGAGGTGAAGCAGTGACCCTCCCTCCCTCATGCAGACACAGAACAACCCCTTAGCAAAGGGGGGCTGTAGCCAAGCACGTTGGGGAGCCCGAGGTATGGCTTCTGCCCAGTTGGCCCACAGCTACATAGCTTTGCCCTCACTGGATGAAGACGAGTGAAGACAATTCTGATGGCAAACTAGAGCAGAGGGGAAAGGCCTCCGTTTGGGGGTGTTTGATGTGGGGGTCTGTGCTTGGGCTTCTCCATTCAGTTTTCCCAGATTCCTTTTTTGGGCTTGATGCTATTGCCACCTGCGTCCAGAATTTCAGTCGTGAGAACTGTTGGGTGAGTGGGCTTATCAACAAAGGACCCTCCCCATAAATGTACAGCAGAGTCACTTACTAGTAGCAGTGTGAGCCAGCACTCAAAGTGATAGAAAGAACAAAAACACACAGATCAATGTTATCTCTTCCATAATAAGCTTTTCTTTGTAGTAAAATAATATGGTTGCACTGTTTACAACAAGGCTTCCATGACACAAATAAAGTCCTTTATGCTTCCTTCTTTGCTTCCATGCTGGTCCAGTCCCATAGAATCATAGAATCAAAGAGTTGGAAGAGACCTCTTGGGCCATCCAGTCCAACCCCCTGCCAAGAAGCAGGAATATTGCATTCAAATCACCCCTGACAGATGGCCATCCAGCCTCTGTTTAAAAGCTTCCAAAGAAGGAGCCTCCACCACACTCCGGGGCAGAGAGTTCCACTGCTGAACGTCTCTCACAGTCAGGAAGTTCTTCCTCATGTTCAGATGGAATCTCCTCTCCTGTAGTTTGAAGCCATTGTTCTGCGTCCTAGTCTCCAAGGAAGCAGAAAACAAGCTTGCTCCCTCCTCCCTGTGGCTTCCTCTCACATATTTATACATGGCTATCATATCTCCTCTCAGCCTTCTCTTCTTCAGGCTAAACATGCCCAGCGCCTTAAGCCGCTCCTCATAGGGCTTGTTCTCCAGACCCTTGATCATTTTAGTCGCCCTCCTCTGGACACATTCCAGCTTGTCAATATCTCTCTTGAATTGTGGTGCCCAGAATTGGACACAATATTCCAGATGTGGTCTAACCAACCAAAGCAGAATAGAGGGGTAGCATTACTTCCTTAGATCTAGACACTATGCTCCTATTGATGCAGGCCAAAATCCCATTGGCTTTTTTTGCCGCCACATCACATTGTTGGCTCATGTTTAACTTGTTGTCCACGAGGACTCCAAGATCTTTTTCACACGTACTGCTCTCGAGCCAGGCATTGTCCCCCATTTTGTATCTTTGCATTTCGTTTTTCCTGCCAAAGTGGAGTATCTTGCATTTGTCACTGTTGAACTTCATTTTGTTAGTTTGGCCCATCTCTCTAATCTGTCCCACACTTCCCATTGAAATAGTAATAAGTTTATATTTGTTAAAATTGTTCTTCATTCTAATTATTGTATTGTTTTAAAGTGGTTTTCACACTACAAATAAGATATGTGCAGCGTGCTCAGGAATTCATTCGTGTTTTTTTCAAATTATAATCCGGCCATCCAACAATTTGAGGGACTGTGACCTGGCCTTCTGTTTAAAAAGTTTGAGGACCCTTGGACTAAGGCCTACTTCACACTGTGTGGGTCTAACCCACACAGAGGCTTCTCTCACAAACTAAGGCCTACCTCACTCTGTGAAGCCTTCTCACAGACTGAGACCTTTCTCCCACTGAGTCTTTGCATCTATTTAACCCCTTCCGTACTTGACTCACACTTTTGTAATTAAAAATACCTAGTTAATTTTTAATGTTTTTGACAGATGGATCACAGCTTGTGGTCCACACTTTGGTAGTCCCTGAAGGTCTCACTAGCCTCTAAACTTGGCTTTCTTGTTGCGCGCTTTGCTGTCGCCTCCCAGCATCTGCTGCCTGAGCCGCAGAGTTGTTGTGCTACTAAGATGATCTGCAACCACATGTTCCCTGTCTCTTCTCCAGGTCTTCCCCGTCTTGCTGCGCGGCCTGCCTCTCAAGGAGGACTTTGAAGAGTATCAGACGATATTCCGCTGCATCAACTTCATCCACAAGCACGATCCACAGCAGGTGAGCCTCAGTTCTTAGTCTTTGGTGTAACACAGTGGTTCTTAACTTGTGGGCTATGGACCACTAGTGGGCCATGAGGATGAAAATCTGGTCTGCGAGCCTCCTTCTTTATTTATGTTATTTTATTTTATTTATTTCTGCTCCTTTTGCGCTGCCTGCCACTTCCTCCCTGTTGCTGACCATGGCATATGTTCTGTATCAGAAACTAGAGCTGATGTGGTCTATCCAATGTAATTATCTCAGCAAGCACCCCAAACTGAATCTAAAGTTCACCAAAAACTGATTTGTAGCTGTTTTGGTACTAATGTTGGAGAGTAGTCCCTGGTCCAAGAGGTTCCTGGTCCAAGTGGACCCAGGTCCAAGAGGTCTCTGGTCCAAGAGGTTCCTGGTCCAAGTGGACCCAGGTCCAAGAGGTCCCTGGTCCAAGTAGACCCTGGTCCAATTTATTATTTATTTATTTATTTGGGGTTCTTTTTACCCTGCCCTTCTCACCCCGAAGGGGACCCAGGGCGGCTTACACAGTAAAGGCACGATTAGATGCCTGCATCACAAACAATCATCACAAACTACAATAAATTCACAATTACCAACAGTTCATGCATTATTCCAATAAAATCAATAAAATCTATAAAATCAATACAAACCCAAGTGGCCCCTGGTCCAAGTGGGCCCTGGTCCAAGAGGTCCCTGGTCCAAGTGGCCCCCGGTCCAAGAGGTCTCCGGTCCAAGAGGTCTCCGGTCCAAGAGGTCCCTGGTCCAAGTGGCCCCCGGTCCAAGAGGTCTCCGGTCCAAGTGGCCCCCGGTCCAAGAGGTCCCTGGTCCAAGAGGTCCCTGGTCCAAGTGGCCCCCGGTCCAAGAGGTCCCTGGTCCAAGTGGCCCCCGGTCCAAGAGGTCCCTGGTCCAAGTGGCCCCCGGTCCAAGAGGTCCCTGGTCCAAGAGGTCCCTGGTCCAAGTGGCCCCCGGTCCAAGAGGTCTCCGGTCCAAGAGGTCCCCGGTCCAAGTGGACCCTGGTCCAAGAGGTCCCCGGTCCAAATGGACCCTGGTCCAAGTGGACCCTGGTCCAAGTGGACCCTGGTCCAAGAGGTCCCCGGTCCAAGTGGACCCTGGTCCAAGAGGTCCCCGGTCCAAGTGGACCCTGGTCCAAGTGGACCCTGGTCCAAGTGGACCCTGGTCCAAGAGGTCCCCGGTCCAAGTGGACCCTGGTCCAAGTGGACCCTGATTGAAAAAGGTTGGGGACCAGTGGAATAACAGAAAATAAGCTGGTTCTCTCCTCAATACATCTTTTGTTTTTTGTATTCTAGGTATTGCAGCAGATTGGGGAAATCGTTCGTGCCAGCAGCACTGTCTTGGGCAGCAAAAATGTACCAGCAGGTATGGAGCTCACTAGACATCCACCTATTTGCTTTCCCCCGTTCTCTCTGTTTAATTTTACAAGTACAGTCCCCCAAAACAGGGAGATTTCTGTTTAGCTAGGGAAGTCTTGCCTTTCCACATAATGTCTGAATATATTGCTGAAGGATTTCATGGCTGGAAACACTGTGTTGTTGTGGGTTTTTCGGGCTATATGGCCATGTTCTAGAACAGGGGTCCTCAAACTTCTTAAACGGAGGGTCAGGTCACAGTCCCTCAAACTGTTGGAGGGCCGGATTATAATTTGAAAAAACATGAATGAATTCCTCTGCACACTGTACATATCTTATTTGTAGTGCAAAAACCACTTAAAAACAATACAATAATTAAAATGAAGAACAATTTTAACAAATATAAATTTATTAGTATTTCAATGGGAAATGTGGGCCTGCTTTTGGCTGATGAGATAGGATTGTTGTTGTTGTTGTTGTGTGCTTTCAAGTTGTTTCAGACTTAGGTTGAGCCTGAGCGAGGGCCGGGTAAATGACCTTGGAGGGCCGCATCCGGCCCCCGGGCCTTAGTTTGAGGACTGCTGTTCTTGAAGCATTCTCTCCTGACATTTCGCCTGCAACTTTGGCTGATGAGATAGGATTGTTGTTGTTGTTGTGTGCATTCAAGTCGTTACAGACTTAGGTTGACCCTGAGCGAGGACTGTGTAAATTACCTTGGAGGCCGCATCCGGCCCCCAGGCCTTAGTTTGAGGACCTCTGTTCTAGAAGCATTCTCTCCTGACATTTTGCCTGCATCTTTGGCTGATGAGATAGGATTGTTGTTGTTGTTGTTGTTGTTGTTGTGTGCTTTCAAGTTGTTACAGACCTAGGTTGACCCTGAGCGAGGGCCGGGTAAATGACCTTGGAGGGCTGCATCCGGCCCCCAGGCCTTAGTTTGAGGACCCCTGTTCTAAAAGCATTCTCTCCTGACATTTCGCCTGCATCTATGACCTCACAACCTCTGAGGATGGTTGCCATATATACAGGCGAAATGTCATAGAATCATAGAATCAGAGTTGGAAGAGACCTCATGGGCCATCCAGTCCAACCCCCTGCCAAGAAGCAGGAATATTGCATTCAAATCACCCCTGACAGATGTCCATCCAGCCTCTGTTTAAAAGCTTCCAAAGAAGGAGCCTCCACCACACTCCGGGGCAGAGAGTTCCACTGCTGAACGGCTCTCACAGTCGGGAAGTTCTTCCTCATGTCAGGAGAGAATGCTTGTAGAACATGCCCATATAGCCCGAAAAACCTACAACAACCCCATGTCTGAATGGCTGTTATAAAAAGCAAACATGATTAAAACCAAACCACTGCCTTTTCCTCCTTCCTGCAGAAGGACAGAACAGCCTGCTGATGCTCCTGCGCAACCTCTCTGTCTCTTGCCCTTCCGAATTCCAAAACGCCGTTCGCTCGTTGCCCTCCGAAGCTGGCGCTTTGGTCAACACAGCGGTCACGTCTTCCACCTGAAGCTCAGAAGCACCAGCGCTCTTTGTTGCCCAGTTTGTGCCGTACGAACGAGAGTTTCCTCCTTCCATTCGGGAACCGACCTGAGACACAGCAACGCTCCCTCCACCATCTTGTGTTGACAAGTTTCCCGTTGAGTCCTTTGCGCACCTTTCTGTGACCGTTCACGTCTCTTCCTTCGGTGCCAACGGCAGTTCGTATTTCTGGGAGGTGGAAGCGGTTGAGATGGTTCCGCAAAGGATTTCCTCTTGTTTGCACCAAGAACGGTTATGAGCACGAGTTCTGTTTTCCTGCCTGTTGTCTTCCTAGACCTTTCACACAACCTTAGGCCCAGCATGGTGTCAGCGGCAGCTCGGTTCGTCAGTGTTTCTCTCAATAACGTTGTCAGGTCTCTGCCTTTTTTCCCCTAACTTTCCTGACTAGTAGGCCTCGGCTGCGAAGGTGCCATCGGTGTTTCCAAGCTGTGGAGCTCTGAATTGACTGTCCATGCCGTAGTAGCAACTATGGTGTAACATTCACTTTACCAAGGGATGCCATGCTTCCTGTGCCAGATTTATGCCTGACTTGCAACTAGATTGATCACAATGGGCTATGCATTTTAGAAACAAGCAGGCGGAAGGCTGCGTATTCCTCTTATTTGGCCACATATCCATTAATGGATGCCCTAAGCCAGGCATGGGCAAAGTTGGGCACTCCAGGTGTTTTGGACTCCAACTCCCACCATTCCTAACAGCCTCAGGCCCCTTCCTTTTGCCCCTCAGCCGCTTAAGCGGCTGAGGGGCAAAAGGAAGGGGCCTGAGGCTGTTAGGAATGGTGGGAGTTGGAGTCCAAAACACCTGGAAGTGCCCAACTTTGCCCATGCCTGCTATAAGCAATCAACCTAACCGCATGTTCCACCAAAATGCTCACTGGTCTGTGATAAGAGGTTCTCTCCGTCCTGCTTCACGGTCTTCCTTCCCGATAACCCTCTTCCCATTCCCTTTTTTTGGGTTGCCAAAAGAGGCGGTGGTTTTGGCCTTGTTGTTGGGAAACTTTTCCTACCGTTCTCTCATCCGGGGTCGAGAGTTTTTGTTTGCCAAAGTTTCTGGCTTGTTTGCAGAGCTGCCGAGAGGGGTTTGTTTATTTTTTGCAAGCGGTCCTGTTTCTTCTGCGGCTGCTGTTGTGGGTTTTGGAATTCAAATAAGGACCCCTCGCCTCAGCTGGATGGGTGCCTTGGCCATGTCCAATGGTTTTAACTTGGAGGTTTGTTAGGTTTACTAATACTTTTGGAACAAAAGACTACAATATATTGTGTACCTTCTATAATAAACAAAAAACATACGTTGCACTTGAACAGGGTTTCCTGAAAAGGAGGTGTGGGTGTCCTTACACGCCACTGATGCTTTCACAAGGTGGGAGAATCGGTCTCAGAGAGAACAACACCTTATTTCCTGGGTTGTTGTAGGTTTTTTCGGGCTATATGGCCATGGTCTAGAGGCATTCTCTCCTGACGTTTCGCCTGCATCTATGGCAAGCATCCTCACTACCTCTGAGGATGCTTGCCATAGATGCAGGCGAAATGTCAGGAGAGAATGCCTCTAGACCATGGCCATATAGCCCAAAAAAACTTACAACAACCCAGTGATTCTGGCCATGAAAGCCTTCGACAATACCTTATTTCCTGTTTTGTTTTGTTTTGTTTTGTTTTATTTTATTTTATTTTATTTTATTTTTGTGTATCAGAGCTGATGCAGTCTATCCAATGCAATTTTTCTGAATTTTGCACCCCAAACCGAATCTAAAGTTGACCAAAATGTGTCCCGAGGAGGGCGATTAAAATGATCAAGGGTCTGGAGAACAAGCCTTATGAGGAGCAGCTTAAGGAGCTGGGCATGTTTAGCCTGCAGAAGAGAGGGCTGAGAGGAGATATGATAGCCATGTATAAATATGTGAGAGGAAGTCGCAGGAAGGAGGGAGCAAGCTTGTTTTCTGCTGTCCTAGAGACTATCGGAGCTGATGTGGTCTATCCAATGCAATTTTTCTGAATCAGCACCCCAAACCGAATCTAAAGTTGACCAAAATGTGTCCCGAGGAGGGCGATTAAAATGATCATGGGTCTGGAGAACAAGCCCTATGAGGAGCGGCTTAAGGAGCTGGGCATGTTTAGCCTGCAGAAGAGAAGGCTGAGAGGAGATATGATAGCCGTGTATAAATATGTGAGGGGAAGTCACAGGGAGGAGGGAGCAAGCTTGTTTTCTGCTTCCCTGGAGACTAGGACGCAGAACAATGGCTTCGAACCACAAGAAAGGAGATTCCATTTGAACATAAGGAAGAACTTCCTGACTGTGAGAGCCGTTCAGCAGTGGAACTCTCTGCCCCAGAGTGTGGTGGAGGCTCCTTCTTTGGAAGCTTTTAAACAGAGGCTGGATGGCCATCTGTCAGAGGTGCTTTGAATGCAATATTCCTGCTTCTTGGCAGAATGGGGTTGGACTGGATGGCCCATGTGGTCTCTTCCAACTCTTTGATTCTATGAAGTTCCAGCCAGTTTAGGATTTCTGGGAATTGGAAGTCCAAAACAACTGGGGATCCACAAGTTGAGAACCACTGCTGGGAGTGTAGCTTGCCCAAAGTGAACATATATTAGAGCCCTAGTAAACATGCAAAATTGAGTAGATCAGTAGGTAGGTAATGGTACGCCATGCAGTTATGCTGGCTACATGGCCTTAGAGGCGTCTGTGGACAACGCCGGCTCTTTGGCCTAGAAATTGAGATGAACATCACCCAGAGTCGGGCTCGACTACACTTCATGTCAAGGGGAAACCTTTACCTTTACTCATAGTCCCAACACTCAAAAGCACTGCACACTGCATTGACTTCCAAGAGAAGCTACTGAGATGAAATCTGGATAGCTTTCAGATGTGATTAGATAAGGAGGCCAAGGTCCATAGTGACTTCCAACTCACAATAGTCTGTTCCAGGGGTCCTCAAACTAAGGCCCAGGGACTGGATAAGGCCCTCCAAGGCCATTTACCTGGCCCTTGCTTAGGGTCAACCTTGAAATGACTTGAAAGCACACAACAACAAAAACAACAACAACAATCCTATCTCATCAGCCAAAAGCAGGTCCACACTTCCCATTGAAATACTAATAAGTTTATAGTTGTTAAAATTGTTCATCATTTTAATTATTGTATTGTTTTTAAGTGGTTTTGGGGGGTTTTTTGCACTACAAATAAGACGTGTGAAGTGTGCGTTCAGTGTTTTTTTTTTCAAATTATAATCTGGCCCTCCAAAAGTTTGGAGGACTGTTTAAAAAGTTTGAGGACCCCTGCCCTAGACAGTCTATTTGTCCTTGTCCTCCTGGACAGCTTCTTTAATATTATTATTATTATTTATTTCATATATTTATATCTCTGAGTCCCATGAGGGGGACTCAGCACAGCCTCACATGAGCATCAGAGGATGCTAACAGCATAAATACCATAAAAATTACAATTCACAATAAAATCATTTTATAACATTACTAGCCGTCCCCTGCCACCCGTTGTTGTGGTCCACATGGGGTTCTGTGTGGGAGATTTGGCCCAATTCTATCGTCGGTGGGGTTCAGAATGCTCTGTGATTGTAGGTGAACTATAAATCCCAGCAACTACAACTCCCAAATGTCAAGATTCTATATTCCCCAAACTCCACCAGTGTTCACATTTGGGCATATTGAGTATTTGTGTAGAGTTTGGTCCAGGTCCATCATTGTTTGAGTCCACAGTGATCTCTGGATGTAGGTGAACTACAACTCCAAAACCAAAGGATACTGCCCACCAAACCCTTCCAGTATTTTCTGTTGGTCATGGGAGAACTGTGTGCCAAGTTTGGTTCAATTCCATCGTTGGTGAGGTTCAGAATGCTCTTTGATTGTAGGTGAACTATAAATCCCAGCAACTACAACTCCCAAGTGACAAAATAATTTTTTTGAGTGAAGGACATACATTGGATTGTCGAAGGCTTTCATGGCTGGAATCACTAAGTTCTTGTGGGTTTTTCCGGGCTATATGGCCATATTCTAGAGGCATTTCTCCTGACGTTTCACCTGCATCTATGGCAACCTCTGAGGATGCTTGCCATAGATGCAGGCGAAACGTCAGGAGAAATGCCTCTAGAACATGGCCATATTACGAAAAAACCCACAAGAACTTAGACATACATTGGGTTGTTAGGTGTCTTGTGTCCAAATTTGGTGTCAATTCGTCCAGTGGGTTTTGAGTTCTGTTAATCCCACAAACGAGCATTACATTTTTATTTGTATAGATACAACATCATCCGTAAAATTTAAAAATGAATTAATAGGTTAACGTGCCAGTAAAACTAAGCCGACAACTGTAAAACTAAGCTGACAGTAAAACTAAGCAGACAACTTTACAGCAACTGACCAACTGGTGCGAAGGAAATCAGGTGTTTGGCCAACTCCAACATGGCTGCTCTTAGGTGTTTCATGGGAAACCCATTTCTTATCCATCAATAAGGGCATTAAAACAAAACACCTTTATTTAATCCATTTCAATACAAAAACTGGGATGCACTAATGTTTCTCTCTCAAAACTCATACCATTGGGAACAGAACTGCCTTTGTTGTTGGGGAGACCTTTTCCTTATCTTCTCAGTTCCATGGCCGACAGAACCAGGTGACACCCATAAAGACGTGAGGTGGGCCCTGCTAGTGGTGATGGAAGCCGGGTCCTGGGCGGATGAGGATCGGTCCGTACGGTTCTGCTTGCTCCAGGCGCACTTGCTGCGTTGCAGAGAGAACTGGGGAATAAAGGAGAACATATGGGCAGGAGAGCCAAGCAAAGGCTCTTTGATTGTAAGAGACCCCAATAATAATTTATATAAATAAAAATGTCATGTTCGTTTGTGGTATTCACAGAACTCAAAAAGCCCTGGACGAATTGACACCAAATTTGGACACAAGACACCTAACAACCCAGTGTATGCCGTTCACTCAAAAAAAAAAAAAGATTTTGTCATTTGGGAGTTGTAGTTGCTGGGATTTATAGTTCACCTACAATCAAAGAGCATTCTGAACCCCACCAATGATGGAATTGAACCAAATTTGGCACACCGTTCTCCCATGACCAACAGAAAATAATGGAAGGGCTTGGTGGGCAGTGTCCTTTTGGAGTTGTAGTTCACCTACATCCAGAGATCACTGTGGGCTCAAACAATTATGGGTCTGGGCCAAACTCTACACGAAGACTCAATATTCCTAAATGTGAACACTGGTGGAGTTTGGGGGAAATAGAATCTTGGCATTTGGGAGTTGTCATTGCTGGGATTTATAGTTCACCTACAATCACAGAGCATTCTGAACCCCACCAATGATAGAATTGGGCCAAACCTCCCACACAGAACTCCTATGTGGGCCACAGCAACGTGTGGCAGGGGACAGCTAATAATATAATAATAATAATAATAATAATAATAATAATAATAATCTTTATTTGTGCCCCGCCATCATCTCCCCCAACGGGGACTCGGAGCGGCTTACATAGGGCCAAGCCCAAACAACAAATTACAATACAAAAATACAAATTGCAATAAAATAAACAACATAACAATAAAGCAATAATAATAAGGACCATCCAGTCCAGTGGTTCTCCACCTGTGGTCCCCAGGTGTTTAAACTGGCTTGCAACTCCCAGAAATCCCAGCCAGTTTATTTATTTATTTATTTACAGTATTTATATTCTGCCCTTCTCACCCCGCAGGGGACTCAGGGTGGATTACAGTGTACACATATATGGCAAACATTCAATGCCAATTTGACATACAACATATACAGAGATACACAGAGGGTATTTAACTTTTTCTGGCTGCCAGGGGAGCTGTTGCTTTCATCGTCCATCTGCGACACTGATGAAGTACTTCCGCATTCCCCACATGCTTTTTCTGAAGTCTTTATGGCCTCATAAATTAGTTAATTTAGCCTCCCCACACAAGGTGGTACCTAATTTTCCTACTTGACAGATGCAACTGTCTTTCGGGTTGCAAAGGTCGACAACAGGCTACACAATTGGTTGGAAGCCCACTCCAACCTGGGCTGGCTTTGAACTCATAACCTTTTGGTCAGAGTGATCTTAATGCAGCTGACACTCAGCCAGCTGCGCCACAATCCCGGTGCGCGCCACAATCCAGCTGTTAGGATTTCTAGGAGCTGAAGGCCAAAACATCTGGGGACCCCATAGGCTGAGAACCACTGATCCAGTCCGACCCCATTTCGATATGCAAAGATACAGAATGGGGGGTGCTTGGCTCGAGAGCAATACGTGTGAAAAAGATCTTGGAGTCCTCGTGCACAAAAGGAACCAATGTGATGGGGCAGCCAAAAAAGCCAATGGGATTTTGGGCTGCATCAATAGGAGTCTAGTGCCTACATCCAGGGAAGTCATGCTACCCCTCTATTACGTCTTGGTCAAACCACACCTCGAGTCACTGTGTCCTATTCTGGAAACCACAATTGAAGGGAGATGTTGACTCTAAGCTGGAATGTGTCCAGAGAAAGGGGATGTCTCAAAGGATCAAGTGTCTGGAGAACAAGCCTTATGAGGAGCGGCTGAAAGAGCTGGGTATGTTTAGCCCGCAGAAGAGAAGGCTGAGAGGAGACATTATGAGGTATATCATCATGGCAGGACAGAAAACAGATAGAGGTATTATGTCGGCATTTTTCCCAATTTCGGCATCCTGGAGGTTCCCTCCTCTCTATGACTTCCCCTCACATAGAGAGGAGGGAACCTCCAGGACGCCGAAACTGGGAAAAATGCTGACATAATACCTCTATCTGTTTTCTGTCCTGCCTCTTTAACGGCACTGAATGTTTGCCGTTTATGTGTTCTGTGATCCGCCCTTTGGGGTGAGAAGGGCAGAATATAAATACTGTAAGTAAATAAATAAGAAGCCGTAAGAGAGGGCACCTACCGAGGCACATGTAGAAGAAGCGGCTGACCACAAGCCGGGAAGTGGTCAGGGGCACCAGGTGGCTAAACTCGATCTCTCCAACCTGTTCTAGCTTAGAGGAAATTAACCTGCAAGAAGAAAATGGTGTCTACGTTAGAGCCTGTAGTTCTTCCCAAATGCCTCATTCAACCAACAAGGGCACCAAGGCATCATCTCTGTTGGAAGCCCCAACTAAAGCAGCCCCATTGATTCACTGGTGATGAAACAGGCACAATCCCATTGGTTCGACAGTTTGGAATACTAGTAGCAGAGTACCTTTGTTGGTCTACAACTCCCAACAATTGTAGCCAATGGCGTGGAATGCTGGGAGTTGTAGTCTCTAGTCAAAATGATCACTGAAGCAAGTTTCAAGATATCCCCCAAACTTTATTTTTTTCCATTGCTTTTGCAAAGACAACCATTGAAATATGTGGCCAGTTTCAGGGCTTTCTTGGCTATCTGATGTGGAGCAAGCTGTTCTTTTTTCCTGAGCGATGGAAAAGGTGTTTGAGGTGTACCTGTGAACATAGTCCAAGCTGATCAGGTCCTTTTCTAAAGGCAACTCAAAGCTGATTTCAGGGAGCTCTGGCACAACAGCAAGCGCCGCTTCCTCTGGCTCCAGAGGGATCCTGAAAGGATGGAAACATTTCTCAGAATCTCCCAGAACTATCAGTTCTGCTCGGTCCTAAGAGGCCATATTCATGCAAAAATGGGGGAGGGGGAGGAAAGCTCAAAGGAAAAGGAAGGGAGGGAGGGAGGGAGGGAGGGAGGGAGGGAGGGAGGAAGGAAGGAAGGAAGGAAGGAAGGGGAAGGGAGGAGGGAGGGGAGGACGGAAGAAGGAAGGAAAAGGAAGAAAGAGGAAATGAAAGGAGAGGAAAGAAGGATGGAGGGGAGAAATGAGGGAGGGAGAGAGGAGGATGGAAGAAGGAAGAAAAAGGAAGAGGGAAGGGAAGGAGGGAGAGGAAGGGAGGGAGGGAGGGGGAAGGAAGGAAGAAAAAAAGGGAGGAAGATGAAAGAAGGATGGAGGGGGAAAGAAGGAAGGAAGGAAGGAGGAGAAGAGAGGAGGGGAGGAGAATGAAGAAAGGAAGGAAAAGGAAGAGGGAAGGAAAGGAGGGAGAGGAAGGAAGAGAACAAGGGAAGGAGGGAGAGGAAAGAAGGATGGAGGGGGTAAAGAAGGAAGGAAGGGAAGGAAGGAAGGAAGGAAAAGAAGGGTGGGGAGAGGATGATGAAAGAAGGAAGAGGGGAGGAAAGGAGTGAGAGGGAAGGAGGAAGAGGAAGGGAGGAGAATGGAAGAAAAAAGGAAAAGGAAGAGGGAAGGGACAGAGGGAGAGGAAGGAAGGAAGGGAAGGAAGGAAAAGAAGGGTGGGGAGAGGAGGATGAAAGAAGGAAGAGGGGAGGAAAGGAGTGAGAGGGAGGGAGGAAGAGGAAGGGAGGAGAATGGAAGAAAATAGGAAGAAGGAAGGGACAGAGGGAGAGGAAGGAAGGAAGGAAGGAAGGAGGGAAGGAAGGAAAAGAAGGGTGGGGGAGAGCAGGATGTAAGAAGGAAAGAAGGAAAAGGAAGAGGGAAGGTAAGGAGGGAGAGGAAAGAAGGAAAAAAGAAAAGGGAGGAAGGGACAAAAATAAGACAGGAGAGGAGGTGAGAGAAGGAGGAGGGAAAGAGGAAGGAAAGAAGGGGAAGGGAAGGGAGGGAAAGAAAAGGGAATCTTTACCTGTCTTCAGAGATCACCAGGCTCGGACGCTGTTCTTCTCCGGTCGTCTCGAGAGAAATTTCTGCAAAAAGATTATATAAAAAAATATCTCTAAACTTCAATCTTGCCAAAAGAAAACAGCCTTGTGAAAAAGGAGGAATATTCGCTCCTAGGTCTCCAAGGTCACAGTCCAACACTCAAACCACAATGCTATGCGGACTCCTATAGTGGAATGTATATCCTCCCTGAATATCTAAGCTCATGAGCTCCAAGACCCTTTCGATCTAGAATGTATTTCTTTCAGGTCAATCAATATTTTTGAACCTAAAGTTCTGACTCTGCAATCCTGTGCCATTTGAAGGAGTAGAAGCTTATCCCGTATCATCGCATGTAAGTTTCTGCTGGTTATGAAGATTACTTCTGGAACTCTGCTATATTTATGGTGGAATCACCCCAACTGAGGGTTATTTTTGAGCCTAACAGCTTGGATTCCCCAACACTTTCTATCTTTGTTGAATGGGAAAGGGTAGGTGTGTATGGGGATAAAGTATCTCAGCCTCATATGAGGAGGAGGCCACCCCACATACTCACCTGAGGAGGCCGTGGGGGGCACGCTCACCTCTTCTGCTGCCCGAAGACCCTATAACAAGCAGAAATAGGAAACACTGAGAATAGGAATCAGGACTTGATGCCTGGCGATCCCACAGAGTGGTCTTCCTCCTTTCCTAGGCAAATTAAGCCATGGCAACACAGTCAAGAGGTGGCCCAGGGTTTCTGAAGATGGTGCTGTCATTATTACATACCCAAATGATCAAAGGTCTGGACGCCAAGTCCTATGAGGAGTGGCTCAAGGAGCTAAGAACGTCCGGCTTGGAGAAGAGAAGGTGAAGAGAGGACTGAGAGCCATGTTTGAATATTTGAAAGGATGTTCCATTGAGGAGAAAGGGGCAAGGCTGGTTTTATGCTGGAGCAAGAGGGAGAGCATTGACAGCAAACTTATCATCATCCAGGTGAGAACCTGGGGGTCGAGACTACTGGGAGGGGGTCACAAGGGGCTTTCAGAGGGGTCACCAAACACCATCAGAAAACATACATTTCTGATGGTCTTAGGAACCCCTTTGGCAGAGAAGGCTGAAGATCTCTTCGCCTGTCCTCTTCCTTTTTGGAAACAGACGGCAAATCCTCCCACCAAAAGCCCTCCTCTGCTGTGATTGACCAGTTTCTCAGCCAAGGGGAGGGCTGCTTCTGAGACTCCAAGTGGTGAGGGGAGAGCAGGCGTGCTTGGCATATGACAGCGTGGTGCACATGTGCGAGCGAGGGAGAGCATGCGAGGCTGGATGGAGGCTCACACCAGTAAGTCCCTTCAAGGCATAGGGGTTCTGTGTGGGAAGTTTGGCCCAATTCTATCATTGGTTAGGCTAAGAATGCTCTTTGATTGTAGGTGAACTATAAATCCCATCAACTACAACTCCCAAATATCAAGGTCTGCTTTCCCCAAACTCCACCAGTGTTCACATTTGGGCATGTTGAGTATCCGAGCCAAGTCTGGGCCAAATCTATCATTGTTTGAGTCCACAGTGCTCGCTGGACGTAAGTGAACTACAACTCTAAAACTCAAGGTCACTGTCCACCAAACCCTTTTGGTATTTTCTATTGGTCATGGGAGTTCTGTGTGCCAAGTTTGTTACAACTCCAATGTTGGTGGAGTTTAGAATGCTCTTTGATTGTAGGTGAACTATAAATCCCATCAACGACAATTCCCAAATATCAAGGTCTGTTTTCCCCAAACTCCACCTGTGTTCACATTTGGGTATATTGAGTATCCGAGCCAAGTTTGGGCCAGATCTATCATTGTTGGAGTCCACGGTGCTTGCTGGCTGTAAGTGAACTACAACTCCAAAACTCAAGGTCAGTGCCCACCAAACCCTTCCTGTTGGTCATGGGAGTTCTGTGTGCCAAGTTTGGTTCAATTCCAACGTTAGTGGACTTTACAGTGCTCTCTGATTGTAGGTGAACTATAAATCCCAGCAACTACAACTCCCAAATGACAAAATCAATCTTCCCCCCAACCCCAACAGTATTAAATATTGTGAAAATTTGGTCCAGTGAATGAAAATACATCCTGGATATCAGATATTTACATTACGATTCATAACAGTAGCAAAATTAGAGTTAATAAGTAGCAAGGAAAATAATGTTATGGTTGGGGGTCACCACAACATGAGGAACTGTATTAAGGCTCGCAGCATAATAATAATAATAATAATAATAATAATAATAATAATAATAATAATAACAACGACAACAACCATCTCCCCGATGGGGACTTGGAGCGGCTTACATGAGGCCAAGCCCAAAGAACAAATTACAACAGAGTAAAACCGAAAACGCAAACCGAAAATGCGAACAATAAACAACATCATAATTACATAAAACATTTGAATACATAATAATATAAAATTATGATAAGCACAAACACAATGACAATGGGCAGGCATTAGGGAGGTTGAGAAACACTGTGCTATAGACTAGGACCCAGCTACACTTTTGAAAGAAATATAGGTTGCTTACCTGTAAACATAGTTTCCCTAGTGGTCACCTGCGAATTTACACATATGGTATAATCCGGCGCTCGCGCCGGCAGCAACGGAAGATTCACGAGACTATTTTGACAGTTGGAGCCCCTCTCCCCTCTATAAATAGCCCTCAAGAGGGGCTGCGGCCAGTTCTTCCGTCGCTAAATAGCTATATAGAAGAGCTGGGCATGACGACTAAATGTAGAGGGGAGGACGGGCGGGTTGTGTAAATTCGCAGGTGACCACTAGGGAAACTATGTTTACAGGTAAGCAACCTATATTTTCCTCACGTGGTCACTGCGATTTACACATATGGTAGACTAGTGAGCTGCTAACCTTGGACGGAGGGCGTCATGCCACAGCTGTAAAAAGCACCGCCCTGCCAAAGGCTGCATCTGTCTTCGCCATCACATCCAGCTTGTAATGCTTTATAAAGGTAGTTGGCCTGGACCAGGTGGCCGCTCTGCAGATTGTCTCGAGTGGAACACCACGGAGAAACGCCGTTGAGGTGGCTACTGCTCTTGTAGAGTGTGCTTTAACCTGTAAAGGTAAGTCCTTCCTACACATCTGATATGCAAGTCTTATAGTTGAAACAATCCAAGATGCCAACCTCTGCGAGGATACAGGGAAACCCATAGAATCCTTCCTATACTTCAGGAATAACCTCGTGGATTTCCGGTAAGTCTTAGTTCTATCAACATAATATACTAGAGCTCTACGTACATCTAACAAGTGCAACTTCCTCTCTAAAGAAGTTGTTGGATTTTGGAAAAATGCTGGTAATATAATCTCCTGTGACATATGGAACTTACTCGACGCCTTCGGAAGGAAGGATATGTCAGTTCTAAGGACTACCTTATCCTTATGAATCCTCATGTAAGGTTCATCACACCTCAGCGCACACAGTTCTCCCGCTCTACGAGCTGAGGTAATAGCAACTAAAAATGCCGTTTTCCATGACAAATATGCCATATCCACTGTTGCTAACGGCTCAAACGGAGGTTTGGATAATGCCGTAAGTACTAGTTCCAAACTCCAGGAAGGGGCAATAGGCGCTACCGGAGGTTTTAGATTCTTCAGACCTTTCATAAACATGGATACCATCGGGTCACTAAAACACGATGGCATACCTATTTTCCGTCTAAACCAAGAAAGGGCTGCCAAATAACATTTTAATGAGGACCAGGACAAACCCAAACTAACTAAATGTGCTAAGAAGTCTAAAATTATCGAAATTGGCGCCCTCGTGGGATCTACCCCTTTAGTCAGGGCATATTTTGAAAACCTAGACCACTTGTAAATATAGGATCTTTTAGTTGATTGCCTCTGGGCAGCTTCTATAATAATTCTGACAGGACTGGAAATACGCGCCATGCCGTTAATCTCAGTTTCTGGACATCCGGGTATAGAACCCGCTCGTCCCGCTCCGTCAGCAAGTCCTCCCTTTGAGGCAATGGCTTGAATATTCTCTTGGACATTTCCAGAACTAGGGAGAACCATGGTTGCCTCGGCCACCATGGGGTGACTAGTATCCCTTGTGCTCGGTCCTGGAGTAGCTTCGACACTACCCGATGAATTAGAGGAAACGGGGGAAACGCATACACACTCCGCTCCCCCCAATGTAAAAGAAATGCATCGCCTAGACAATTGGTCATTGAATTCCTGTAGTCCCGGGCACAAAACATTCGACACTGAGTATTCTGGGCCGAAGCAAAGAGATCTATCTCCGGTTCTCCCCAAGCCCGAAAAAGTAGGGCTGCAACTTGTCTGTTCAAAGTCCACTCGTGGTGAGTGAGAGGATTCCTGCTCAAGAAATCCGCTAGCACATTTTGCTCTCCTGGCAGATGTATTGCCAGAAGGAAAATGCCCTTGTCTATACACCAATTCCACAGTCTGAGTGTTATTTCTAATAGTCCTTTTGAGTGGGTTCCTCCCTGCTTGTTTATGTAATACATCACTGTCGTATTGTCTGTCACCAATTGGACCACTTGATGTCTTAGGACCGGTTCGAATGACTTCAGTGCTTTCTCTACTGCCAGTAACTCTAACAGATTTATGTGATATGTTGTCTCTATAGACGTCCATGACCCTTGGGCTGTCAAACCGTCCACATGCGCCCCCCATCCCATGAGTGAGGAGTCTGTGGTCAGAATCTTGGAAGGTCTGGGTTGATGAAAAGGCAGGCCAGTGCAGACATTGTTGCGTTCCGCCCACCACAACAGGTGTTTGCGTTGCTGCGCAGGCAAAGACAGGCGCATACTGGACCTGTGAAACAATGGGTCGAAGACCGACAGGAACCAAGACTGTAGAGGTCTGAAATGCAGCCTCGCATGAGGTGTCACCGCAGTTGTTGATGCCATGTGACCTAATATCACTTGTATCTCTCTGGCTCTCACAACGTCTCTTCTTGATGTCTGTAGTATGAGATCCTGCAACCTTTTGAAGCGCTCGTCGGGCAGGAACGCCTTTTGACTCTCCGAATCTAACAGCGCTCCAATGAACTGCACCCGTCTTGAGGGGATGAGATTGGACTTCTCCCAGTTCACTATCAGACCTAGGGACTGGAGAAGAAATAAAGTTTTGTCGATATGCGAAAGTAATAATTGTCTTGAATGTGCTACAAGCAACCAATCATCAATATACGAATACACCGTTATGCCAGCTGTGCGGAGGTAAGCCGCCACCGTGGACATGCATTTAGTAAAGACCCTCGGTGCTGTCGCCAATCCGAACGGTAAAACGTTGAAATGGAATGCCTTATCTCCGACCATAAACGCTAGAAATCTACGATGGTGTTCATGAATGGAAACGTGGAAATAAGCATCTTTCAAGTCTATCGTAGCAAACCAAACATTTTTATTTAACAAAGGAAGAATAGTCTTAAGTGAAACCATGCGAAATTTCTTAGTAATTATAAACTTGTTTACCCCCCGTAAATCTAATATTGGGCGAAGGCCACCTCCTTTTTTAGAAATTAAAAAGTATCTCGAGAAAAAACAGTGTCCAAATGATGATGGTGGTATCGGACATATTGCTCCCTTAGAGAGCAACACCTTAATCTCATCTAACAGTACTGTAGAAGGAGATGTGGCCTTAACATGACCCACTGGTGGCAAACTATCGAACTCAATCAAATAACCATTTTTAACAATTTGAAGTACCCAATTGTCAGTGGTAATTTCTGACCAAACATTATAAAAAGGAGCTAAACGTGCTCCAAAAAAGGGTAACTCTGTACCAACAGAGTTAAAATTTCTATAAACATGAAGAGTACAATCTTGTAACAATGTGGGAGAGACTGAGGCATGCAAATCTGATATTCCATCGCCTGTGGAGTAAATGTCAAAAGCGCTGTTTGTTTCCTCCTGGGCGATTGGGTTTACCCTGATATGGCTGAAACCTGGTCCTCGACCCATAAGACTGCTTCCGCTGGAGGAATGACTTATTATTTTGAGGTGCACGTTGACGTTGTTGGCCTCCATAAAAATTACCCGCATTTCTTCTAAAATACGAAGGAGATGTCTGCCATCTAGGTTTCTGTTGGGAAAAACCTTGTCGAGGAAAACCATAAATTTGCATGGTTTTCTTCATCTCCTGATTATGCTTCAACTTTTCATCTGTCGTGGGATGAAAAAGGCCTTCTACATGCAAAGGTAAGTGTTCGGCGAGAGATCGTCCTTCCTCTGACAGTGCCGACGCACGGAGCCAAGCATGCCGTCGTATTGACGTTGCATTGCTGAAGATATTTCCTGCTGTTTCCGCCATATGCTTTGCAAAGTCTTTTTGGAACTTTGCTAGCAGTATAGCCTCAGAGAAGAATGCCCTTGGCAAGCGTTGTTCACTTTCCGGGATGTAATCCAAATAAGGCTGCACCTTGTTCCACAGAAAAGTCTGGTATGCGCTCATGTACGTGGCGTAATGAGCCATCCTAGTAAAGAGTCCAGCAGCCATATGGGACTTTTTTCCCATAGCATCCAGTTTCTTTCCTTCTTTATCTGAAGGAGTAGGGTTTAACTTTTTGCCCTTTTGCCCATGTGCGACCTCAGCTATGACAGTGTCTGGTGCAGGAGGTCTTGCTATCCAATTCGCGGAGGACACATCAATCCTATAAAGATTATCCACTCTCCTCGGAATTGCAGGAGTCAAAGAGGGAGAGCCTTCATTTGTCTTGGTAAGTTTTAGTAAATACGGTAATGCTGGAAGAGCGGTTGAAGTGTTAGATTCCTGTTGTTCTGCAGGAAACATAGGGTCTTCCACAGACTCCGGCTGTTTAGGAGTCGGAAGGTCAAGCGCACGGATCATTCTAGCTATTAATGATGCAAACTTAGTGTAGTCCTCATTATTAGGATCCTGCTCTGCTTCTCTAAAATTTTCAAGTGTGCTCACTTCCTCATCAGACGTCTGGGATTCATCTATAAGTGGTAGCTCCGTATGCAGGACTGGTGATAACTGCTCCTGTGAATCCACTGATTCAAGGATTTGAGTGTGTGTCCTCTTTCTCTGTCCTGAACGCGCTGTCCTTCCTTTTGTAGAGTCGCTATTTGATGCATTATTGGCATTGGTACTTGTAGGGGGCCATTGTGTAGGCATTGGTGCCCCATAACAAAACATCTGACCATTAGGGGTCATTTGCCAGAAGCCTCCTTGGTTCATAAATGGAAGGGGAAGTGGGCATTGTCCTCCTTGGTTCATATATATTGGAGGGAATTGGCACTGCCCTCCTTGAGCCATACCTCCCTGACTAATGAATGGTAGATGAGGAGGTTGGTATTGGACTCCTTGACCCATGCCTCCATAGGGCATAAAGGGGAGAGGAGGTTGACCTTGACTACCTTGGCTAGAACCCCCTTGGCGCTGGCTTTCCTGATTTATCGAAGGGGAAGGAGGCAAGCCTTGCAAACCCTGTCTTCTCGATACGTGAGAAGCGCTCCTCTTGCTCCCTTGAGCCCCCTTATCTCCGCTTCGCTTCTTTAAGGGGGAGGAGTTAGGGGAGGAGTCCGAGGCGGAACTTGCTAGCCTCGACGCCGAACGGCTTCGACGCCGGCGTCCTCTGCTCTCCGCCATCTTCCTTGATGGCGCTCGATCTCGAGCGCGTCTTGGGCTCATTTCTAAGAGCCCTATTGGCGAAGAGGGCGCTCCCGATACCGATACCACGGTATCGTGAATTATGATCGGTGGAGAAACCGATGCTTCCGAAGCCTCCATTGCTGTTGCAAGATCTTTAGGGGAAGCCTCAGCAGGTAATTGAGGAGCCGATCCCTCTTCTCCATTGTGAGCCGAGGACGCCATTTTATTCGGCGTTTGGCTCTGTAAGCCATTCTCTCCCTCTTTAGAGGGGTTTTGCGGCTTGACTTTCTTTTGAATATTTTGAGCCGCTTCACCTCTCTCTGAGGGCTTATTTGGCTTTATCTTCTTAACTTTAATTATTTTCTTCTTTATAAGCAATGGATCAACCTTTTCAGCTGTATCCTCCATTACTTTTGGAGGAAGTAGAGCCTGTTCATACAGCGCCGCTTTTAAACGGAGTTCTCTATTCTTTCTAGTTTGCGGCGTGAAGGCTCTACAAATTTCACATGCCTGGGAGAGGTGCTCTTCTCCCAGGCAAACAAGACAATTAATGTGTGCATCATTATCCGGATATTTATTCGGACATGACACACATTTCTTGAAAGATGTAGTCATTATTGTAATCTTTAACGTCTCTTTTCCCTTCCGTCACTGCTTTTAGCGCGGATTTAAAGAACTGGCCGCAGCCCCTCTTGAGGGCTATTTATAGAGGGGAGAGGGGCGGGAGGGGCTGCTCCAACTGTCAAAATAGTCTCGTGAATCTTCCGTTGCTGCCGGCGCGAGCGCCGGATTATACCATATGTGTAAATCGCAGTGACCACGTGGGGAAACTAATATGGCATCCTTGAAGTGACTGGACTGACCTTGAAGGAGCTGGGGGTGGTGACGGCCGACAGGGAGCTCTGGCGTGGGCTGGTCCATGAGGTCACGAAGAGTCGGAGACGACTGAACGAATGAACAACAATATGCTGCTGGAAGTGTGGTGGAGTCTTGCTCTCTGGAGATTTTTAAGCCAAGGCTGGATGGTCATCTGTTGGGAGGGCTTTAAATGTGTCTTCTCCATGGAGTTGGCCTGGATGGCCCTTAGGGTATCTTCCAACTCTATGCTTCTATCACTCTAAGTACTAGTGGGTGCTACTTTGGACATGGCTTAGAGGAGCTATCCTAGGTCCTGAAATCCTAAGAAGACCTGCCTGCCTCCTCAACTCCATTTTATGCAGCCATTGCTGTTTAGCAACTCCTTACCTCCAACTCGCTGAGCACCTCAGCCTTCTGCACTATTTCTTCCTCCTCCGCTCTTTGTGCTTGCTTCTCTAATGCTCTCTGCCGGGCATAATCCATGCGCTGGAGTTTTGCGTGTTCGGACCAGAGACCCTGGAGGGTGGGATGCATCCATCCTGGAAAGAAAGGAGAAACAGAGCAAAGATAAAGCTAGACATCTCCAAAAGGGAAGCGTTTGGCACTTGGGAAGGAAGGGGAGAGTAGGCCGAAGTCTACTCTTCCCTGGGCCAAATTTAGTGTTGTCCTGAGGGGAGTGAGTAGGCCGCAGCCTGTTAGTGAGACAAAGCTAGTGTCGTCCTGAGGAGAGTGAGTAGGCCGCAGCCTGTTAGAGTCAGTGGGCCAAAGCTAGTGTCATCCTGAGGAGAGCGAGTAGGACAAAACCTGTTAGAGTCAATGGGCCAAAGCTAGTGTCGTCCTGAGGAGAGTGAGTAGGCCAAAGCCTGTTAGAATCAGTGGGCCAAAGCTAGTGTCGTCCTGAAGAGAGTGAATAGGCCGAAGCCTGTTAGAATCAGTGGGTCAAAGCTAGTGTCGTCCTGAGGATAGTGAGTAGGCCAAAGCCTGTTAAAGTTAATGGGCCAAAGCTAGTGTCATCCTGAGGAGAGTGAGTAGGCCGATGCCTGTATAGTTAGTGGGCCAAAGCTAGTGTCGTCCTGAGGAGAGTGAGTAGGCCGCAGCCTGTTAGAGTCAGTGGGCCAAAGCTAGTGTCATCCTGAGGAGAGTGAGTAGGCCGAAGCCTGTTAGAGTCAGTGGGCCAAAGCTAGTGTCGTCCTGAGGAGAGTGAGTAGGCCGAAGCCTGTTAGAGTCAGTAGGCCAAAGCTAGTGTCGTCCTGAGGAGAGTGAGTAGGCCGAAGCCTGTTAGTAAGTGGGCCAAAGCTAGTGTCGTCCTGAGGAGAGTGAGTAGGCTGAAGCCTGTTAGAGTGAGTGAGCCAAAGCTAGTGTTGTCCCGAGGAGAGTGAGTAGGCCGAAGCCTGTTAGTCAGTGGGCTAAAGCTAGTGTCTTCCTGAGGAGAGTGAGTAGGCTGTTAGAGCCAGTGGGCCAAAGCATTGTCCTGAGGAGTGTGAGGTAAACATCTGTGTGAGAGAAGCCTCGGGTGAGAAAGCTCCAGTGTGAAGGCTGTTGTGTGTAAAGCTACTGTGTATTTGTTTATTTGTGTTATGGAAACCTTCTTGTTGTAAACAGTGCAACCATATTATTCTATTACAAAGAAAAGCCTCCTGTGGAAGAGATAACATTGGTCTGTGTGTTTTTGTTCTTTTTGTCACTTTGGGCTTTGGAAGGAAAGGAAAAAGAAAGGAAAGAAGGAAGGAAGGAAGGAAGGAGAAGGAAGGAAGGAAGAGAAGGAGAAGGAAGGGAAAGGAAGAAGAAAAAGAAGAAAGGAAGGAAGGAAGGAAGGAAGAGAAGGAAGGAAGGAAAGGAAGGAAGGAAGGAGGAAGAAGGAGGGGGGAGGGGGAAGGGGAGGAAAAAGGAAGGAAGGGAAGATGGAAGGAAGGAAGGAAGAAGAAGAAAGGAAGGAAGGAAGGAAGGAAGGAAGGAAGGAAGGAAGGAAAAAAGGAAGGGAGAAAAAGGAAGGAGGGAAGGAGGGAGGGAGAAGGAAGGAAGGAAGGAAGGAAGGAAGGAAGGAAGGAAGGAAGGAAGGAAGAAAGGAAGAAAGAAAGGAAGGAAGGAAGAAAGGAAGGAAGAAAGGAGGGAGGGAGGGAGGAAGGAGGAAGGAAGGAAGGAAAGAAGGAAGGAAGGGGAAAAGGAAGGAAGGGAGGGAGGGAAGAAGGAAGGGGGGCTCACCATAGGTTGCCATTCCTAGAAGATCTGTTGCCATTTTCTGCCTCTTGGCTGGTAGCAGAACCATGTCCTAAATAGAGAAAGAGAGAAGAAACAGGGCATAAGTTAGGTCACATGAAAGAAAGGGAGAGAAACGAGACCTTTTGCATCAGTTTTTCATTCTGGCTGCAGACATTCCTGCACTTAGCAAAAAGAAATTATTTCAGTTTGCAGAAATGTGAAAGATTTCAAAGATTCTCCATCACTGGGTGGGGCAAATAACAGCATTCCCAAGGCTTTGTCATCCTCGATCCTTAACAACTCTCAAAAACTAATTTCTTTCCTGAAGAAAAAGCGAAGAAAAGGAGACAGAGAAAGAAGGAGGAGGAGGAGGAGAGAAGGTGGGAGGGAAAGAAGAAGGTGAAGGAGAGAGAAAGGGTGAGGAAGAAGAGGAAGGAATAGGAGGAGGAGAATGAGTAGAAAAATAAAAAGGAGGAGGAGGAAGAGAAGAAGGTGAAGGAGGAGGAGAAAGAGAAAGAAAGAAGAAAAGAAGAGGAGAAGAAGAATAAGTACAAGAATGAAAAGATGGAGGAGGAGAAGGGAAAGGAGAGGCAAGAGGAAAAAGAAGAGTAATGAAGTGAAGGAGGAGAATGAGAATGAGAGGAGAGGGAAAGAAAAGGTGGTGAAGAAGAGAGAAGAAGAAGAAGAAGAGAAAGGAAGAGGAGTTGGAGAATGAGTAAAAGAATGAAAGGGAGCTGGGAGAGAAGAAGGTGAAAGAGAGAGAAGAGGAAGACGAAAAGAAAGGAAGAGAAGGAAGAGAAGAAGATTGAGAGAATAAAAAGGAGGAGGAGGAAGAAAAGGAGGTGAAGAAGAGAGAAGAGCATTAGAGAAAGGAATAGAAGGAAGAGGAGGAGGAGGAGGAGGAGGAAGAGAATGAAAAGGAGGAGAAGGAGGAGAAGAAAGTGAAGGAGAGGAAGAAGAGAAATGAAGAGAAGAAGGATGAGTAGGAGAATGAAAAGGGGGAGGAAGGGGAGGAGAAAATGTGGGAGAGGGAAGAGGGAAGAGGAAGAAGAGAAAGGAAGAAAAGAAGAATGAAGAAAAGAATGAAAAGGAGGAGGAGGAGGAAAACAAGGTGAAGGAGAGAGGAGGAGAAGAAGAGAAAAGAAAGGGAGGAAGAGGAAGAGAAGAAGGTGAAGGAGAGAGACGAAAAAGAAAAGGAAGGAAGAGAAGAAGGATGAGTAGATGAAAAGGAGGGAGGAGGAGGGAGGAGATGAAGGAGAGAGAAGAGGAAGAGAAGAAGAAGGAAGAGGGGATGAGAATGAAAAGAATGAGGAGAAAGAAGGGAAGAAGATGAAGAAGAGAAAGGAAGAAGAGGAGGAGGAGGAGAATGAGTAGAAGGATGAAAAGGAGGAGGAAGAGGAGGAAGAGAAGAAGATGAAGGAAGAGGAGGAAGAAGAAAAGAAGGAGAATGAAAAGAAGAATGAAAAGAAGAAAAACCCAGGCACCTACCAGGGACTGGCATTGGGCCTGTATGTTGTCAATCTGCTCCTGGAAATCTTCCCGGGAAATCTGAGTGATGTCATCAATGTAGCGGAGCTGCCTTCGCCGGCGACGGGGTCGAGTCGGGGACGGTTCATATTCCAGCAAGAGAAGCTGAGAGGCCGGAAGAATTTGCCAAGAGTTCAGCAGCAGTAGGTGATACACTATTGTTTTATGTGTTCACTATATTGATAATAACAGGATAAGGCCGTAGGAAATTGGGATTGACAGGCCCAAAGTCAGGCCAGTGAGGTTCGTGGCTCAGTCAGGACTAGAGCCTTGACAAGTTGGAAGTCTCCAGAGAAGGACGATGGAAATGACCAAATATTTGGAAGCCAGGCCCTATGAGGAGCAGCTAGAGATGTTTAGCTTGGAGAATAGAAGGCTGAGAGAAAGGCAAATGAGAGGAGCCAGGCTTAAAGGTCTTGAAAGGGGTTCCGCTCTCCGAGGTGCTGAACCCTGTCATCGAAATAGGATCGAAAAGAAACAATACAAGATGGCTGCTGCCTGCAAATTGTTTGACAACATAGGCTGCCTTCAGAGCTATTATGTTCTGACAAGGTGAAGCCCAATTAGGCAGGAGAAATAAAGTTAGAATATGTATTGTCGAAGGCTTTCATGGCTGGAATCACTCAGTTCTTGTGGGTTTTTCGGGCTATATGGCCATGTTCTAGAGGCATTTCTCCTGACGTTTCGCCTGCATCTATGGCAAGCATCCTCATAGAGGTGCAGGCGAAACGTCAGGAGAAATGCCTCTAGAACATGGCCATATAGCCTGAAAAAACCCACAAGAACTGAAAGTTAGAATAGTTCGTCACCCGAAGCATCTTTTCTCTTTGAACACCGATCCTGATCCCTCTGTGAACTAACTGATGCTCTTAGGGATGTTCTTCCACCTCCTCTTCTTCCCTTGAGTCCTGTTTCCATCTTCCAGTGTGTAGCTAGCTAGGTTAGATCAGCACCCTGAGTATCTTTCCCATCTTAGAATGGAATGTTGCAAAGCCTGGTTGCTTCAATGCCTGGTTGCTTACTACCTGGGGGAATCCTTTGTTACGAGGTGTTAGCTGGCCCTGATTGATTCTTGCTTACTACCTGGGGGAATCCTTTGTTGGAAGGTGTTAGCTGGCCCTGATTGAACCCCTTGCAGCTTCAAAGCCTGGTTGCTTACTACCTGGGGGAATCCTTTGTTGGGAAGTGTTAGTTGGCCCGGATTGATTCTTGTCTGGAATTCCCGTTTTAAAAAAAATAATATTCATTGAATTTTTAGGGAAAAAAGGGGGGAAGGGGAAAAAAGAAAGAAAAAGGGGGTAAAAACGGGTAGGAAAATTTAACTAGTAGAAAGGGAAAAGGAGAAAGAGACTACTATGGTAAAAGGGGTTTAAAGGTTTCGTTATTAATGGGAGTGGGAGTAAAAGTGCTAGAGGGGGAGGGAAGACCAAAAAATTGGGGTAAAAAATGAAAAAAAATTAAATAATGAAGAAAAAAGAGAAAAAAAGGGGAAATGGTAAAAAAAAGTGTAAAAAATGGAAGAAAAAGTTAAAAAAAGAGTAAAAAATAAAAATCTTCTTATTGGCTTCCAGATTCTTTTCCTATCAGGGGAATTAGTCTCTTGTATATAAGTTGTAATTAGTCTTGCTGTCTTCCATCTATGGAATTCCCCTGTTTTTTGAGAGTTGCTCTTTATTTACTATCCTGATTTTGGAGTTGTTTTTTTCTTAAATATTGGTAGCCAGATTTTGTTAATTTTCATAGTTTCCATTCAATGTTAATCAAGGTGATTAATTGCAACATTCATACTTGATTCCAACAGACAAGAGTTCTTTCTCCCACCCTGGACATTATTCTACAGATATATAAACCTCATTTGCCTAGTTTCCAACAAACCTCCCAACCTCTGAGGATGCCTGCCATAGATGTGGGCAAAACGTCAGGAGAAAATGCTTCTGGAACATGGCCAGGCAACCCAGAAAACTCACAACAACCCATGCCCTATAGAGCAGGCCGGGGCAAACTTGGGCCCTCCAGGTGTTTTGGACTTCAACTCCCACAATTCCTAACAGCCGGCTGTTAGGAATTGTGGGAGTTGAAGTCCAAAACACCTGGAGGGCCCAAGTTTGCCCAGGCCTGCTCTAGAGCATTGCACTACGTCAATATTATGTCTCTTAAGCTGTGCTGTCCTTCTTTCCTCTCACCTCGGGACTCGATCGGGATGGACGCTCCAACCTGGGGCTGACAAGGGGCGATGGGGGCGGCGGAGGCATCTTTGGTCCTTCCGGGATGGGTGTCATCTCTATAGAGAATAGACACAGCTTTGGGGTCAATAATTAATTAATTAATTAATTGTCGTGTCAGGGCAACCAGTCAATTATATTACATTTCTAACAGAACAAAGCAAACAAACAGAAGCAACCAGCATAATAATAATAATAATAATAATAATAATAATAATAATAATAATACAACAACAACAACAACACTCCCGATGCTACAAAGAACATCCCAGATGTATTGCTGAAGGCTTTCATGGCTGGAATCACTAGGTTGTTATATGTTTTCCAAGCTGTATGTCTGTGTTCCAGAAGCATTCTCTCCTGACATTTCTCCTGCATCTCTGGCAGGCATCCTCAGAGGGTGTGAGGTCTGTTGGCAACTAGGAAAATGACGTTTATATATCTGTGGAATGATATAGAAAGAACTCTTGTCTGTTTGAGGCAGGTGTGAATGTTGCCATTGGCCACCTTGATTAGCATTTAATGGCCTGGCAGTTTTCAAGGTCTGGCTTCTGACTGCTTGAGGGAATCTTTTGTTGGGAGGTTGTTAGTTGGCCCTGATTGTTTCTTGTCTGGAATTCCCTTGTTTTCGAGTGTTGTTCTTTATTTACTGTTATGATTTTAGAGTTTTTAAAATACTGGCACTTGGTGTCTAGCCAAGCGCAGGCTTATGTTCCGGAAGCATTCTCTCCTGACGTTTCACCTGCATCTATGGCAGGCATCCTCAGAGGGTGTGAGGTCTAGGCAAGTGGGGTTTATATATCTGTGGAATGATGTCCAGGGTGGGAGAAAGAACTCTTGACTGTTTGAGGCAGGTGTGAATGTAGAAATTAATCACCATGATTAGTATTTAATGGCCTAATAGTTTTCAAGGTCTGGCTTCTAACTGCCTGGGGGAATCCTTTGTTGGGAGGTTGTTAGTTGGCCCTGATTGTTTCTTGTCTGGAATTCCCCTGTTTTTGAGTGTTGTTCTTTCTTTACTGTTATGATTTTAGAGTTTTTAAAATACTAGTACTTGGTGTCTAGGCAAGCGCAGGCTTATGTTCCAGAAGCATTCTCTTCTGACGTTTCACCTGCATCTATGGCAGGCATCCTCAGAGTTGTGAAAACTAGGAAAATTGAGTTTATATATCTGTGGAATGTCCAGGGTGGGAGAAAGAACTCTTGTCTGTTGGAGGTAGGTGTGAATGTTGCAACTGGCCACCTTGATTAGCATTGATTTCCAAGTATTGTTCTTTCTTTACTGTTATGATGTTAGAATTTGTTAATACTGGTACTTGGTGTTTAGGCAAGCGCAGGTTTTGAAGCTGCAAAGTCTGCAGCTTCAAAGCCTGCAGGCTGTGGGAGTTGGAGTCCAAAACACCTGTAGGGCCCAAGTTGGCTCATGCCTGATCTATACTGTGGAATTAATGCAGAATTACACTATGCAACACAATTTTTGTTCCTGGGATACAAATGTCATTTCCTAATTGGTTCTATCATAAAATAGAAAGGTTCAACCGCCAACCTTTTGGTCAGCAGTCCTGCTGGCACAAGGGTTTAGCCCCTTGTGCCACTGGGGGCTCTATAATAATAATTATTATTATTATTATTATTATTATTATTATTATTATTATGCTAATCAAGCTGGCCAATTGCAACATTCACACCTACCTCCAACAGAAAAGAGTTCTTTCTCCCACCCTGGACATTCCGCAGATATATAAACTCCATTTTCCTAGTTTTCACAACCTCTGAGGATGCCTGCCATAGATGCAGGCGAAACGTCAGGAGAGAATGCTTCTGGGACATCGCCAGACAGCGCAGAAAACACACAACAACCCAACATCCCAGATTTCTGAATTCGATAAGGAACAGGATGATAGTGTGAGGCCTTAGAACTTCTCACTCGACCTCAACTCCTTGGATCAGCCTCTCCCATCCCAAGGTGGGCTCTATCTCTAAAAAAGTTACTTTTTGGGGTGTTTACGAACACTAGTATCCTTCACCAGGATATTCCCACAGTAGCTATGACATGAAATGCAGCCCACATTGGCTATCTTTGTACATAAGTTCAAGGTTTTTGCAAAGTGGGCATTTTCTGCTCTTGTCAGGGACCGAATTCCAAACTTTTGGGTAGAAGCTCAATACAAGTTGGGTTGTTGTAGGTTTTTTCGGGCTATATGGCCATGGTCTAGAGGCATTCTCTCCTGATGTTTCACCTGCATCTCTGGCAGGCATCCTCAGAGGGTGTGAGGTCTAGGCAAAAGGGTTTATATATCTGTTTATATATCCACAGATGGAATTCCACAGATATATAAACCCTTTTGCCTAGTTCCAACAGACCTCACTACCTCTGAGGATGCTTGCCATAGATGCAGGCGAAACATCAGGAGAAAATGCCTCTAGAACATGGCCATATAGCCCAAAAAAAACCTACAACAACCCAGTGATTCCGGCCATGAAAGCCTTCGTCAATACAAGTTCTTCCGCAGGTCAAGCACAGGGACAGATACTGAGCCAAACCTCCTTGAAGTCTCTTTCCTTTCCAGAGTAAGGAAACGTATCTGAAACCTCTCCTTTTGCTGTAGTTCGGACCACTCACCCAAAGGCAGCAAAGGGGCTTCTCCCAGAAGCAAGGCCTCCTCTGTCAGGGCAAGTCCTGTGTCCTTTGCAGCCGAAGACACCTCTTTAATGCTGCAGAAATAAAGAAGGGAAGAAAAAGTCACAACAACAATTCATATTTTACTAGCTGTCCCTTGCCACACGTTGCTGTGGCCCAGTCTGTTGATCTGGAAAATAAAGTAACGAGAAAGTGTTGGTTTCTAATATATGTAATTTCTTTATGCTTATGGTAAACAGTATTTCTTGCTGTTTCTTTGTCAGTGTTGCTATGGAGAGTGTCTGGTTTGCCCACCCTGGAACATGCAACATATCATTGTCCTTCTTTAGGGGTCCCTTTCAAATCTATGATACTATATCTCTCTGTGTGTGAATCATATCTATCTATCTATCTATCTATATCTATGGCTGGATGGCTCTCTGTCAGGAGGACTTTGATTACGTTTTCTTGCCCCGGTGAAGGGAGTTGGACTGGATGGCCTTAAGTATTTTCTGTTGGTCATGAGGGTTCTGTGTGGGAAGTTTGCCCCGATTCTGTCATTCGTGGGGTTCAGAATGCTCTTTGATTGTAGGTGAACTGTGAATCCCAGTGACTACAACTCCCAAATGTCAAGGTCTATTTTCCCCAAACTCCACCAGTGTTCACATTTGGGCATGTTGAATATTCGTGCCCAGTTTGGTCCAGATCTATTATTGCTTGAGTCCACAATGCTCTCTGGATGTAAGTGAACCACAACTCCAGAATTTAAGGCCAATGCCCACCAAACCCTTCCAGTATTTTCTGTTGAGGAGTTCTGTGTGCCAAGTTTAGTTAAATTCCAACATTGGTGGAGGTTATAATGCTCTTTGATTGTAGGTGAACTATAAATCCCAGCAACTACAACTCCCAAATGTCGAGGTCTGTTTTCCCCAAACTCCACCAGTGTTCACATTTGGGCATGTTGAGTATCCGAGCCAAGTTTGGGCCAGATCTATCATTGAGCCCACAGTGCTCTCTGGATGTAGGTGAACTACAACTCCCAAACTCAAGGTCACTGCCCACCAAACTCTTCCGGTATTTTCTGTTGGTCATGGGAATTCTGTGTGCCAAGTTTGGTTCAATTCCATCGTTGATGGAGTTCAGAATGCTCTTTGATTGTAGGTGAACTATAAATCCCAGCAACTACAACTCTCTAATGACAAAATCATAATTTTTGAGTGATGGTCACTCCTTGTGTTGTGAGATATTTTGTTGCCAAATTTGGTGAGATTTCGTTGATTGGTTCTTTTGTTTTTAAGGTACTCATTATGCACAGAGCATTTATATATATATAGATGGCAAGCATGTGCCAACTTGGGCCCTCCGGGTGTTTTGGACTCCAACTCCCACAATTCCTAACAGCCGGTAGGCTGTTAAGAATTGTGGGAGTTGGAGTCCAAAACACCTGGAGGGCCCAAGTTGGCCCATGCCTGATCTATACTGTGGAATTAATGCAGAATTACACTATGCAACACAATTTTTGTTCCTGGGATACAAATGTCATTTCCTAATTGGTTCTATCATAAAATAGATACATTCAACCGCCAACCTTTTGGTCAGCAGTCCTGCTGGCACAAGGGTTTAACCCACTGTGCCACTGGGGGCTCCATAATAACAATAATAATAATAATAATAATAATAATAATAATAATAATAATAATAATGTACTTTATTTATATTCAGAGTGGATTACAGAGTACATACTGTATACGGCAAACATTCAATTTATTTATCGTGTCAGGAGCGAACCAAAACAGTTGTATTGCATTAAAATACAGAAAAACAAACAAACAAACAAAACACAAAGTTTGCAGACTTTCATTCAATGCTATTATACAATTGACAATGAAAACAGATAGTACCAAAACAGAAGCAAGGCTTAAGAAAACAGGGTGTTGTTTCTCAGGAACTTTGCTTCCCATCCTGTTGATTTTGCTCTGTCATTTTTCTTAAATACAAGAAACCTACTGGTTGGAAGCAAAAACTGGGACACAATCAAGGGATAGGTGCTGTGTCCCTTCTTCTGGCAAATGCTATTCTGGGTTATATCACCCTAAGGCCCCTTCTACACTGCCATATAATTCAGTTTATCAAAGCAGGCAATTCACATTATCTGCTTTGAACTGGATTATATGAGTCTACACTCAGAGGCGGCCCTAGGTAATTTTCAACGGTAAGCAAACAGTATCCCCCAACCAATCACTGATATATATTTTCTGTTTGTCGTGGGAGTTCTGTGTGCCATATTTGGTTCAATTCCATCATTGGTGGAGTTCAGAATGTTCTTTGATTGTAGGTGAACTATACATCCCAGTAACTACAACTGACATATGTCAAGGTCTATTTTCCCCCAAGAGGGCCTCAAGAGCACCCCTGGGCAAAATCAACTATACTGCAAATGATTACTTTGCGTAATGGGTTGAGCCGCCCCTATCTACACTACCATATAATCCAGTTCAAAGCAGGTAATCTGGATTTCAAATGGCAGTGTGGAAGGGGTCTCATATAATCCAGCTCAAAGCAGATAATGTGAATTATTATCTGCTCTCATAATCTGGATAATATGGCAGCGTAGAAGGGGCAAAACATAAGAAGTGAGACGGGTGGTAAGGTAAGATAAGAAATTGAATATTTTCATCGGTATACCTTTCATGTCTATTTTAACTTTTTAAAAATTGTATGATTATTGGTTGTTGTAGGTTTTTCCGGGCTATATGGCCATGTTCTGGAGGCAATTTTTCTCCTGACGTTTCGCCTGCATCTATGACAAGCATCCAACAATACATTGTATGATTATTGTTTATAGGTGGGGAATATTAGTTTGAACAAGAGTCTTGGTGGTAAAAGGGGCATAAGGGGAAATGACTGTGTTTACAAACTCTATAAGGATACTTATATGGCTAAAAAATGTGTGCGTGTGTGCGAGTTGGAGTCCAAAACACCTGTAGGGCCCAAGTTGGCCCATGCGTGATCTATACTGTGGAATGAATGCATAATTACACTATGCAACACAATTTTTGTTCCTGGGGTACAAATGTCATATATGTGTGTGTGCATATACACATACACATGCACACACACATTTTTTTAGCCAAACAAGTATCCTTATAGAGTTTGTAAACATGAGTGTGTGTAAACATGTGTATGGGAGCACCTGATGAACCAACCTGGACACAGCATATTATTCGAGAACACAGAAATGCTGGACCACTCCAACAACCACCATGTCAGACTACACAGAGAAGCCACTGAAATCCACGAGCATGTGGACAATTTCAACAGAAAGGAGGAAAACATGAAAATGAACATAATCTGGCTACCAGTATTTAAAAAACTCTAAAATTAGAACAGCACAACAACAGAGAGGAAACAAACAAGGACATCTAATCACCTCTCAACAAAAGATTGCTCCAGGCACTGCCAGGCAATCAAATGCTAATCAAGGTGGTCAGTTGAAACACTCACACCTGGCTCCAGCAGACAAGAGTCCTTTGTCTTACCCTGGTCATTCCACAGATATATAAACTCTTTTTCCTAGTTCCAACAGACCTTACTACCTCTGAGGATGCTTGCCATAGATGCAGGCAAAACGTCAGGAGAAAATGCCTCTAGAACATGGCCATATAGCCCGAAAAAACCTACAACAACCCTGCATAATTATTGTTTATAGGTGGGGAGAGTTAGTTTGAACAAGAGTATTGATAGTATAAGGGGCATAAGGGGAAATGACTGTGTTTACAAACTCTTTAGGGATACTTATATGGCTGAAAAATGTGTGTGTGTGTACGTGTGTGCATGTGTGTGTGTATATACCCACACATATTTCTATAGGTATATCTGTGTGTGTGTATACACACAAATATTTCTAAGGGGAAACTGCATGGTTATTATTTTTAGGTGGGAAGAATTCGTTTGAACAAGAGTATTGCTGGTACAAGGGGCATACTGTGTTTACAAACTCTATGGCTGAAAAATGTGTGTGTGTATACACACATATTCCTATAGGAGTATATGTCTGTGTGTCTGTGTGTGTACACACACACACACACACATTTCTATAGGTATACACACACACATATGTGTGTATGTGTGTCCATACATATATGGAGACAATTTAGACATTTAGCATCCTTGAAAGAGAAAGCTCCAAATCTCTTACCCCGTGGGAGGTGACAGCTCCAAAGACAGAAAGGGTTCCTGCTGCCTGGCTTTCTCTGCAGACTCTGAAAGAGACACAGAGGTTGGAGTAAGAGGTCAGGGACAGAGAGATGTGGGAGCAGAAGAATCACAACAGCTGCAAAATAATTGGGGAGGAAAGCAGCCCATGCCCTTGGAAGTTTTGGCAGCACTTCTGAGAAGCCTCCCATTAAGAAAAGCTTTCATAATTGTCTTGTTATTTTTTCCTGGAGGGCTGAGACTTATTCACAAACCCTGCTTTTTTTTTCATGTCAGGAGCGACTTGAGAAATTGCAACTCGCTTCTGGTGTGAGAGAATTGGCTGTCTGCAAGGACATTGCCCAGGGGACGGCCGGTTGTTTTTGATGTTTTACAATCCTTGTGGGAAGCTTCTCTCATGTCCTTGCATGGGGAGCTGGAGCTGACAGAGGGAGCTCATCCGCACTCTCCTCAGATTCAAGCCTCCGAACTGTCAGTCTTCAGTCCTGCTGGCACAAGGGTGTAACCCATTGCGCCACTGGGGGCAAACCCTGCTGTAGCAGACCCTGTTATCTTGGCAAAGGAAGTAATATTACTAATAATATTTCAATATAATGGTATAGTAGGTAGGTAGTCCCCTGACATTAAGTCCAGTCATGTCTGATTCTGGGGTGTGGTGCTCATCTCCATTTCTAAGCTGAAGAGCCAGCGTTGTCCATAGACACCTCCAAGGTCATGTGGCCGGCATGACTGCATGGAGCGCCGTTACCTTCCCGCCGGAGCGATACCTATTGATCTACTCACATTTGCATGTTTTCGAACTGCTAGGTTGGCAGAAGCTAGGGCTGACAGCGGAAGCTCACGCCGCTCCCCGGAATCGAACCTGCGACCTTTCGATCAACAAGCTCAGCAGCTCAGTGGGCTCCCAATGGTATAGTACAATATAGTAATATACAATACTGGTATTGTACTATGCTAATAATATAATATATAATATATAATATAATATATTGTATTTATATATATCTTGTAAGCCAATCTGAGTCCCCTTCGGGGTGAGAAGGGCAGCATGTAAATGTCGTAAATAAATAATAATAAATAAGTTCAGTCTTATTTTCTCTAAGATGTGTGTGATGCATCAGAAAATAATGCGTGCAGATCCAAGTAGTGTGACCTTTTGCAGCGCCAATTGTATTTAAGTGCAGGCCAAGGTCTTGAGGCACTGCATCCAGTGTGCCGATCACCACTGGGACCACCTTGACTGGCTTGTGCCAGAGTCTTTGCAGTTCGATCTTTAAATCCTCATATCATGTCAGATTATTATTATTATTATTATTATTATTATTATTATTATTATTATTATTGGGGAAATACGGTAGCACTGGCTCTTCCCTGCTATAGATTCCAAATAACAAGCACCAGATGTCTCTAGATCTCAGTAAAAAAAAAAAAGTCCCTAAAAGGAGGATGGAGATGAACCTGTTTTTTCAATGCTAATTCATCCTTTGGCTCTTCTCAGGCCTTGCTTGTCTCTTACCTTCTTCGGCACGTCTTCTCCGGGGCGATGGGAAGGCGTCCTCTTCGCCCAACGCCACTTGAAAGCCCTCTTGTTCCACCAACATGTCGATCTCCCGGGCGGTGATTTCAGGCAGGTCTTGCTCTCCCTGCAAGTCAGAGGGATAAAGGAAGCCCCATGGAGAGAGATCTGGCAAAGCTCCTCATGGGCCCCATTTCCGAGATCCCGTTTGGGCTGAAGACTCACCTCGATGGTCAGCAACATGATGGGCTCGGCCTCCTTCAGCGTGATGGCATCCGGCGAGATGGTGATATGTGGCTCGGCTTGGAAGCAAAAGGGGCCAGAGGTGTGCATTGAGCACCATGGCTTCATTGCACAGTTCCTACCTAATCCTTTTTTTACTCAAGTCTAATGGTCACTTTTTGGGGGCCTGTCCTCGTCGACTATTGTTTTGTTATTGTTATTTTTAAAGCTAATTATATTGTTTTAATCTGCTTCTATAAACCGCTCCAAGCCAAATTGGGAGTAGCAGTATACAAATTAATTAATTAATTAAATAAATAAATAACTTCACCCAAATTAGGGTGTGATTGGGAACTATCCTCCATCACATTTGGAGAAATAAATACTTGCACCACTCGCTACATCCACATTTTTCTCTGTCTTCACTGTAGAATTAATGCAGTTTGGCATCACTTGGACTGTCACGGCTCAATACTATGGAATTATGGGAGTTGTCATTTAGCCATTCTTGTGGGAGGCTTCTCTCATGTCCGGGATTGTGGCGCAGCTGGCTGAGTGTCAGCTGCATTAAGATCACTCTGACCAAAATAAAGTCATGAGTTCGAAGCCAGCCTGGGTTGGAGTGGGCTTCCAACCAATTGTGTAGCCTGTTGTCGACCTTTGCAATCCAAAAGACAGTTGCATCTGTCAAGTAGGAAAATTAGGTACCACCTTGTGTGGGGAGGCTGAATTAACTAATTTATGAGGCCATAAAAAAGACTCCAGCAAAAGCATGTGGGGAATGGGGAAGTACTTCATCAGTGTCGCAGATGGACGATGAAAGCAACAGCTCCCCTGGCAGCCAGAAAAGGTTAAATAGCCCCTGTGTATGTCTGTATACATTGTATGTCAAATTGGCATTGAATGTTTGCCATATATGTGTACACTGTAATTTGCCCTGAGTCTCTGCGGGGTGAGAAGGGCGGAATATAAATACCGTAAACAAACAAACAAACCAACAAATAAATAAATAAGTCAGCACTCTTTGCCAGAGAAGGCTAAAGACATGGTGAAACTACAGTTCCCACGATTCTATCGTACTGAGCCATGGCGGTTCAAGCGGTGTCAAACTGCATTAATTCCACAGTGCAGATGCACCCGCAGCCTCTCGACTCACTTGTCCTCCGACGCTGGGGAGAAGGAGAGGCTCCCAGAGGGGTTTTCTCTGGAGTTGGAGCTTCTAAGATGTAACGGACCTGGAAGGAGGCAGATAAAAGAGTGGGATGTCACCTATTTCCTGGCTCCATCATGGGAATAGGTGGTTATGGGACATGGAGTGGAGGGAAGGCAGCCTTACTGTTGAAGCTGTTTGCAATTTATAATGTAGATTTCAAAGTATGTATGTATGTATGTTTAAAATGCAGTATCTATGTGAAGAGTGTAATGTATTTATTCCTGTGTGGAAAGAGTTAAGTGAACCATGGAGGGAACGGCATTCCTAGAGAGGTCATAAATCAAGTGTATAGCACAAATGGACTGCAGCGCAGTGTGTTGTATGTCATACGTCACTCTGGAATAATAATAATAATAATAATAATAATAATAATAATAATAATAATAATAATAATAATTTATTTGTACCCCGCTACCATCTCCCCAAGGGACTTGGTGCGGCTTACATGAGGCCGAGCCCAAATACAACAATACAAGCAATAACAACAACAATACAAACAATTAAAATAAAAACATAGACAGTAAAAAAAGATGCAACAATTAACAATAAGACAACACACAATTAAAACTGTGGGTAGGCCAAATGTAAAGTTAAAATTGGAAATAATGCCAGGGCATGGGCGAAAAGGTGAAATGCAAGAGGTGTGGACTAGTACTGATAACTGTTAGTGTGTTCGCAATGTTACGATTGGACGGTAAAGAAGCAAGTTTATGCTGTGCTGAGTGTTAAGTAGCTTCTAATGTATATAGCTATAAAATAAAGTGGCTGTGCTTGATCTGTTCCTGCCTTGCTGTGCTGCCGATGCCACTGACACTTACATGTGGGATGCCGATGGGGCTGGGAAGCATGGGCTCCATCAGGCCGAAAAATGGGTCGGGGGCTTCTTCCAAGGCTTCCATTATGGCCATCTGGTCGGGCACAAGCAGCCCCGGCCTGAAGGAAAGGGGAAAAAGCAACAATGAAACCCACAAAATGACAGGAGATCGGACCTGCTAAATAGCAAATGTACAGGCAGTCCCCAAGATACGAACATCAGTTCTGTAGGTTTATTCTCAATTTGTATGTAAGTGATAACTCTTTCAGGAGTGAATTTCCCTTCTGAGGGATAGATTTCTCTCACTTCCTGTTGCCTCACCCCTGTTCTTAACTATGAGTCGTTTGTAAGTCGAATGTCTCCTAGACTGCTGTCACCTGAGCCTTGGGACCCCGAGGATGTACCAGTCTCTCAAGTCCTGGAATAACCAGGGTGGGACAAAGGACTCTTGTCTGTTGGACCACTCTCACAACCACCATGTCAGACTACACAGAGAAGCCATTTAAATCCACAAGCATGTGGACAATTTCAATAGAAAGGAGGAAACCATGAAAATGAACAAAATCTGGCTACCAATATTAAAAAAAACTCTAAAATTACAACAGCAAAACAACAGAGGGAAAACGATCAGGCACATCTAATAACCTCTCAACAAAAGATTGCCCCAGGCACTGCCAGGCCAACAAATGCTAATCAAGGTGGTCAGTTGAAACATTCACATCAAGCTCCAGCAGACAAGAGTTCTTTGTCCCACCCTGGTCATTCCACAGATATATAAACCCACTTTCCTAGTTCCAATAGACCTCACTACCTCTGAGGATGCTTGCCATAGATGCAGGCGAAACATCAGGAGAAAATGCCTCTAGAACATGGCCATATAGCCTGAAAAAACCTACAACAACCCATTGTTCAATGGGTCTGCTCTACTTGAGACAAACACAGGGATTGGAGACTGAAGACCCCAAAAGAGAGGCATTTGTCAAGGTGTCAAATTAACTGGATCCCCCCTCATTGAGACTTACTGCTCCAGATCTGTCATGTCAATGCGGATCTTTTGTTGGGTCCGATGAAGCCGTTCCAAGATATGCTGGATTTCCTCTGAAAGAAGGAAGGAAAAATCCACACAAGGTCAAGTTAGGGTCTGAAAATCCAAACAGGGTCGGTTTTGGGGCTGGAAATCCAAACAGGGTTAACAATAAATAGAAATCACACATTAGCTTTATGGACCAGAGTAGTAGCAAATTTAAACCACCCTCAGATCAAGTTAAATTTTGGTGAAATTACTACTTTAAAATATGTCCATTATGCTATGTAACACAATTTTTGTTCCTGGGTTATAAATGTAATTTCCTGATTGGTTCTACCATAAAAACATGAGAAAACTTTATTAAACTTCAAAAACTTTCAAAGGTTTTCATGGCTGGAAACACTGGGTTGTTGTAGGTTTTTCGGGCTATATGGCCATGTTCTACAAGCATTCTCTCCTGACGTTTCGCCTGCATCTATGGCAAGCATCCATTTATCACAAAGAGTAGGAAGAGGGGCCAACCAAGGTCAAGATGGATGGATGGTATCCTTGAAGGGAATGGCTTGACCTTGAAGGAGATGGGGGTGGCCATGGCCAACAGGGAGCTCTGGCCAGGCCTGGTCCAGGAGCTCACGAAGAGTCGGAAGCAACTGAACGAATATACAACATCTCATAGAGTCTCAACCCATGAACGCAACCTAATTTGTGGCAGCTGCAAAAATGAAGTTTCTGGAGTATAACACTTAATTTCGAAGTAAATACTGCACAATTAAACAAGAAATAACACTTTCAAACAGGAACAGCTGCTCCAAAGAGGTCCTACCTACCGAAAAGGTACTGGCACTGGCGAATGTAGACCAGGATCACTCCGTATTGGAGCTGAGCGGAGAGATAGAGCGAGAAGCGGGGTTTGGGTGCGCCGGGGACGGGCGGTGGGACCCGAACCAGGATGAAATCCATGATGTCCTCACTGCAGAGAGAGAAAGAAATCGGGATTGTTGCCTGAGGTTACATCTATAGCAGGCATGGGCAAACTTGGGCCCTCCAGGTGTTTTGGACTTCAACTCCCACAATTCCTAACAGCCGGTAGGCTGTTAGGAATTGTGGGAGTTGAAGTCCAAAACACTGGAGGGCCCAAGTTTGCCTTGGGCTGAACTACACTAACAAATAAGTTCTCTCAGTCATTGATTTGATGACAAATTTTTTAAAAGCCTTCATTGAGTTTCTGATGCTCTGCTAACCACTGTCCATCTTAAGGACTAGAACCTTCCCTTTTTTAAAACCAATCATGTGGAATGATTGCAGAATACCAAATGCCTCGCAAGTCCCTTAAGAAATCTCAGATGTTCCTTTTTCTCCTTCTGCTTTTTGAACAAGGGAGGCAGGAAATTGTACAACAGGGTTTTGTGGTGTCGAAGTCGATGACCACCAAATACAAATCTCTGCACTAGTCAAGAGTTGGACTTGATGGCCTTTAGGGTCTCTTTCAAGCCATAGGTTACTGTTTATTTCCCTTGACAGTCTTTACACAGCCATAGGTAAAGGTAAAGGTTGTCCCGACATTAAGTCCAGTTTTATGTCTGACTCTGGGTTGTGGTGCTCATCTCCATTTCTAAGCCGAAGAGCCGGTGTTGTCCATAGACACCTCCAAGGTCATGTGGCCTGCATGACTGCATGGAGTACCCTTACCTTCCCGCCGGAAGGTAAACCTATTGATTTACTCACATTTGCATGTTTTCGAACTGCTAGGTTGGCAGGAGCTGGGGCTGACAGCGGAAGCTCACACCGCTCCCCGGAATCAAACCTGCAACCTTTCGGTCCATCTTGTCTTTACTAATAATATAATATAGTATATTGTATATACATATAATATTTATAATATTACTAGCCGTCCCCTGCCACGCGTTGCTGTGGCCCACATGGGGGTTCTGTGTGGGAGGTTTGGCCCAATTCTATCATTGGTGGGGTTCAGAATGGTCTGTGATTGTAGGTGAACTATAAATCCCAGCAACTACATCTCCCAAATGTCAATATTCTATTTCCCCCAAACTCCATGAGTGTTCAACATTTGGGCATATTGAGTCTTTGTGCCGAGTTTGGTCCAGTTCCATCATTGTTCTGCGTCTAGGGCCATAAACATTACTTTTTGTTGATGATTGGTTTCATAGTATTCGATTAAATCTATTATTGTTCTAACATTATCCTTTTGATGCCTATTAGGTAGGAAACCTGCTTGTTCTTCCTCAATGTTAGACCACACCTGGAATATTGTGTCCAATTGTGGGCACCGCAATTCAAGAGAGATATTGACAAGCTGGAATGTGTCCAGAGGAGGCTGAGTAAAATGATCCAGTGTCTGGAGAACAAGCCCTATGAGGAGTGGCTTAGAGAGCTGGGCATGTTTAGCCTGAAGAAGAGAAGGCTGAGAGGAGATATGATAGCCATGTATAAATATGTGAGAGGAAGCCACAGGGAGGAGGGAGCAAGCTTGTTTTCTGCTTCCTTGGAGACTAGGATGCGGAACAGTGGCTTCAAACTACAAGAGAGGAGATTCCATCTGAACATGAGGAAGAACTTCCTGACTGTGAGAGCCGTTCAGCAGTGGAACTCTCTGCCCCGGAGTGTGGTGGAGGCTCCTTCTTTGGAAGCTTTTAAACAGAGGCTGGATGGCCATCTGTCAGGGGTGATTTGAATGCAATATTCCTGCTTCTTGGCAGGGGGTTGGACTGGATGGCCCATGAGGTCTCTTCCAACTCTTTGATTCTATGATTCTATGAATGTATACTTTGAGAATTTTTTTCAATCGTTCCGCCATTATTTTGCTAAATATTTTGTAATCCACATTCAGGAGCGAAATCGGTCTGTAATTTTTTACTTCTTCCGGGTTGGAGTTTTCTTTATGAATTACACATATATTAGCCTGTTTCCAGGAGTTGGGGATTTCTTTATTTATTCTGATATTATTCATTATCTCTTTTAAGTATGGGATAAGTTCTTGTTCAAAGTTCTTATAATACTATGCTGATAGCCCATCAGGGCCTAGGGCTTTATTTGTCTTTAAATTCTTTATCGCTGATTTTATTTCATGTTCTAAAATTTATTTATTCAGGATTTCTCTTTGCTCATCCATATTTTTTTGTATTTTTGTTGTCCTTTCTTGGTCTATTTTTTCTTCTTTATATAGTGTTTTATAGAAATCATAGAATTGATTCCTAATATCTTTTTCCTGTGTATATGCCCTGTGTATATGTATTTATTTCTAATCTTGGTTATAAATGTCTTGTCTCTCCTTTTTCGTAATTTATTTGTTAGCCATCTCCCTGGTTTGTTTGCGTTCATGAAATAATTTTGTTTCATGTATTTTAATTGCTTTTCTCCAATTCTAAATAATCCCTTTGTTTGTGTCAATATTCAGATCCATCATTGTTTGAGTCCACAGTGATCTCTGGATGTAGGTGAACTACAACTCCAAAACCAAAGGACACTGCCCACCATCTGCTGGTCATGGGAGAACTGTGTGCCAAGTTTGGTTCAATTCCATCGTTGGTGGGGTTCAGAATGCTCTTTGGTTGTAGGTGAACTATAAATCCCAGCAACTACAACTCCCAAATGACAAAATCCATTTTTGTTTAGTAAAGGACATACATTGGGTTGTTGGGTGTATCATGTCCAAATTTGATGTCAATTCGCCCAGTGGTTTTTGTTGTTATGTTAATCCCACAAACGAACATTACATCCTCACCTCTGAGGATGCTTGCCATAGATGCAGGCGAAACGTCAGGAGAAATGCCTCTAGAACATGGCCATATAGCCCGAAAAAACCCACAAGAACTGAGTGATTCCAGCCATGAAAGCCTTCAACAATACATTGAACATTACATTTTTTTATATAGATAATGTAATACAATATATTACTAGTAATAATAATAATACAATATTATAATTATAATTATATATTTACATTACATGCAATATTACTAATAATATTGCAATATAATGGTGCAGTGCAATATAGTAACATAATACTGATATTATACTATGCTAATAATATAATATATTGTATGAAA